GCGGGCAACGAGGCGCGCTTCGTCAACGACTACCGCGGCGTCGGGCCGCCGCGCGCCAACGCCGAGTTCCGCCCGGCGTTTTGCGAGCGCTGGGGCGAGGTCTGCGTCGGCGTCTGGGTGCTGGGTGGAGGTCGTGGTGCGGAGGGCATCAGAAAGGGAGAGGAGATTCTGGTCAGTTATGGAAAGGGATTCTGGGAGGAGAGGAGGAGAGAGGGGGGGGGGTTGAGGAAGTCAACGAGGAGGGTTGACGAAGAAATGGGGAGTTGGCGGTGCAGAGGTTGTTTGTTGTAGTTCACATCGGAGGGCAGATCAGGGGGGAGATGATGTGTCAATGATTTGTTAAAACGCCTGATGTAGCTATAAATTCAAAACCTCAAATGATACGTTGCTTTTGCAAAATTGTTCCTGTGCTCCATGGCAAGCAAAATATCGTGAAAATGAAGAGCAAAAAAAGGCAGAGATGGCTCCAAGATGAAAAACAGAAGCTATTGGAGAGAATGATAAAATAACCAGAGGAGAAATCGAAGAGAAATCGAAGAGAGAAAATCGTGAAATCCATTCCAGATACTTGCCAGTTCCCAATACCCAGAGATACCTATTCGTCTCCTCCTTCGTCGCCACCGGCACCCCCCTCGTCATCCTCCTCAGCGTCGTCGCCGTTATCATTCTCCTCTTCATTCTCGATCTCTTCATCCGAGATCTCTTCCTCCTTCTTTTGTACCTCCTCGGAATCGGCGTTGTGCGCATCCCGCCCATCGTCCACGCCGTGCCTGCGCGATCTCGTTAGAGGGACACCACCCCCCGGCGCGTCGTCGTCGTCGTCGTCACTCGACTTTGCATTTTCCCAGTCTTGCGGAGGTGGCGGGCCCTGCGGGGTGGTGTCACGAGCCGCCGCCATGGCCGCTTGGTTCCGTCTCATCTCGTCTGGTCGACCCGAACTGGCCGCGCTTGGTGTCGCACTGTTGTCTTCGAGAAAGAGACTGCTCTCTTCACGTTGCTCACGGCCCGGGCTCGCGGGCTCGTCGGGGGGACTGAAGCGGTATGACATCTGTGATGGGCCCGGATCGGGGTCCCGCGCGAATGTCGCACCCTCGATGAGAAGCGACGGGCTTCCGCTGCGCCGTGGCTCCGAAGTGGCAGCGCGCGGCGGAGAGCTGAGAGAAGCGCCGCCGTCGGCGGCGTCCTCGTTGCCCTGCTCTCCGTCGGGAGTCGTATCATCGACCATGACATCGTCCTCGGCGTCGATTGCCGCCGGGGGGCGGGTTGCCGTGGACGCTGAACGGTTGGGGAGCACACAGTGACGTTTAGGACTGGGACCATGGTGCCCAGCATCGCCGTCGTCGTTGTCGTCGTCGTCGTCGTCGTCGTCGTCGTCACCATCGTCGTCTCCCCGTCCGTGACCGGGTCCGAAGGTGCCGCGGGTAGGGCCTTGGTTGTTGCCATTTGCGCCGCTGCGCTCGTTGAATGGCGTCGCACGTGGTCTGGCATCACCTGTTTCTGGCTTGATTCGGATTGCCTTGGCGACAGCCTCCATCTCCTCTTCCGTGGGCAGATATGCGATGGTCAGAGGCGCCAGGTTTCGGAACTTTGAAAGATGCTTCTCCACGACGGCCTTTGGCTTGCACATCTCATCGTTCATCTGCACCACAAACATGTGGTCTCGCACACACATGTTCATGTTGAGCGTCGTGAGATAAATGTCGTAGTCCCAGAACTGAACAGCGTGCAGGCCGCGGAGACACCGCAGCTGGTCGTGGCCTTGGATGGTGCGCATATCGCGGTGCAGCCGAAAGTTGGGCTGGTTGATGGTATGACGCTTGTCGAAGCGCACCTTGCCAAGGCACTCGTGCTTGCGGCGCATGTAGTCCGGATGGCTGGCGCGCAGGTAGATGCCGAGTGTCTTGAGACGCTTCGCCTGGGGCAGGCAGCCAAGGGGCTCGGTGCGGCGCGACACGTAGCGGCCCTTGCCGTTGATCTTGTAGCTGACATTCTGCGAGCCCGTCCACAGCAGCTGGATCCTCTGGATCCTCTGCAGCCAGGGGCCGATGGTCCGCGTGAAGCGGCCCAGCTCGCCGAGCGACGAGAAGCAGAACTCGTTGCAGCTGTAGAACAGGTTGCCGGCAATGTAGCGGAGCTGCTTGCTCACCTGGAGGAGAGCGATCACATCCTCCTCTGGTTTCTTTGCGCAAGTGAGGCTAAAGGGGCCGGTGCCGATCAGGAAGCGGTGCAGCAACCGCAGATTCTTTCCCTCTCTGTCCACTTCGGCGACCTCTCTGTCCACTTCGGCGCCCTCTCTGTCCACTTCGGCGCCCTGGCTGGGAGCTGGGGCGCAATGCGGGTCGAGACGCGAAACAAAGTGCACGAGCTCTGGAAAGACAACACTGTACTTGCATATCTGCACGAGTAGTGGTGTGGGAAGATCCAAAAGACCTCGGCCGGATCCGTGGGCCACCGGCGCTTCGGAGGAGACGGGCACTTTGGAGGAGACGGGCACTTTGAAGGAGGCGCGGGCCTTTGCTTCTAGTTCAGGGCCAGTTGGCGCTCTGAGTTTCAGCAGAGGATGTAGGTATTGCGGCGAGGAATTTTCCTCTCTGCAAGACAATGTGTAAATCTTCTGGTAATCGTCCCAGGCCTTGATTCTGTCCGAGTTCTGGGAAAACCATTTGGCCAGCTCGGCTCTCCAAGTCTACCCCGTGCCGTAGTTAGCTTTATCTCATGTTGGTGCAGTCTTTGCCCGGTGATGGCTGAGTTCACTTACTGTTTTGACTTTCCTAGGTTTTTTCAACCTCTTGCTCAATTGACCGAGCTCTGATTTCAGGTCGGTATTGTTTCTCCTTGCCAGTCGCAGAGCTGCTCTGAGTTGAACTATTAGCGTTCGCAATTTGTCATTGCGATGCCTGAGTCGTTGAATTCTCTGCTTTCTCCGATATGCTGCCTCTCTCCTATTTCGAAAGGGCGGTTCGCACGACTTGAAACAGTCTCCTGTAAAATCGACATCAGGCTGCGAATCGTCGCTGTCAGATCCACTCTCTGTGACCTCTCCGTCGTCCGAGGATCTCGATTCTGAGCCGTCATCACCAGATCCAGTTTGCATGTGGTTGGCATTGCCCTCGGGGTCGGACTCGTTTCCAGCCCGAGATTGGTCCTCTTGTGGTCCTTCAAACAGATCGTCAATCGTATTGTTCGGTGGGCCGTCATGGATATCAGCGCCATTCATGTGCTCAGAAGCATCATCTCGTATATCCATTCTGATCTCAGGAAGCCGCAGAAATCAAGCACAATTGAAAGTATGCCGCTCGGGGATTCTCAAACTCCTGGTAGATGTCAGATTAGTATGCCACAGGGATACAAGAGTCTGAAGCAGCGAGAGGAGAGCAGGAGAGGTGTGAGATGAGCGCGGATGAAATCCAAAGATTGAAGCAACACGATAGCATACACCCAAGGTCTGTGTTGGAATGCAATGGAGACGGCAGTGGAAGATGCAAGAGCGCAGTCAGACTGGATGTGCACATACCTGAAGTCGATAAATAGTGGTATCACGGGAATGCGAGGCGTGCTAAGGTGAAAGGCAAAGGCAGAGAGCCAACTGCCGAGATGGGGTTGTTGATGAAAGTGTGTGACGGCAAAGAAGAAGGAGAAGAAGGTGAAGAAGGATAGAGGAAAGGAGAGGAGAAAGAGAAGGAAAAGAAAGGTATGGTGGTGGTGGAAGAGGAGAGGGAGGAGGAGTATGAAGGAGGAAGATGGATGAAGAAGAGGAGGAGAAGAAGAAAAAGACGAGAGAGATCTGGTGGTGGTGGAAGAAGGGATTATGAAGAAAAGATAATGTATAAGAGAAGAGGAGAGGAATAGGAGGAAGAGAGAAAGAAGAGGTCTGTCTAGTGATGGTGGAGGAGGGAGGACCAAGTTGAAGAATGATGGAGAAAGAGTGTATTTATAGTGATATACGAGTCGGCCGAAGAGAGTGGAAAAAGAGAGGAAAGCCACGCTTTAATATTTACTCTTCTTCTTCTGCTTAGATGAATTCATAGCTTCTCATCCAAGTGTAAACGTGCGTGCACGCCGGCGTGCAGACAAACGGCGGCCGCTCCTTGCAGCCGACACCGCCAGATACTCAACGTAAACCACGGAGAGAAGCGTTTTTTTTTTTTTGAAACTATAACAACAAGTCATCATTATGCAGTTTATTTCTATACCAAGTGTGCCTCTGTGGAGAAAAAAAATATGTTTTCTTTGTACATTTTCTTCATGCTTCGCCATCTCCAAATTCAATTTTCACCAGCCCCTTCTGGTGGTGCCGCGAGGCTCATAGACGGCTCTCTCTGAGCCGGTGTTACTTCCTGTATTTACACTACCCCGTCCTTCCTCCAGGCTGCGACGACCCTGTGCATCCATCTCCGAGAGTGTAAACATGAGCGGTTCGTCGCCGACCGACTCATCATCACCACGGATGAGGCGGCTGCTAGAGCTACCCGCGTAGCTGCCTCGAGCTGCCTGCATGTGATGCGGCGGCGGTGTCTGTCCACGACCAGCGTTCATTCCGGTATACCGTTTGCGTTGAAACGGCGACGACGACTGCGCGACAGAGATCAAGCCGTCGGGGGGCGTTTCTTCTGTGGACCCACGAAGCATTGCTACCGATACACTCGCAGATCGAATCTCGGGCGCGGGTCGGAGACTGCTGGGCGGGCTTTCGCGAGCAGTAGACTCATTGTCCAGTTGCATTTGGCGGCCAAGAAGTGTGCTGAGAGTCGGCGCCTCTCTGTCCTCTGCTCCTAGGCTGACGCTTCGATTTGCAAAAGCCAGGTCCGTTTCCTCATCGTCAACTGCTGCTCTGGTTTGCTGCGCGACTGAGCTTGATCGTCTTTGGTGTGAACCCAGACGGGGTGACAACGGTATGTCAATGGCAGTAGTGCCCTCCTGAGTGATGGTGTTTTGGCGGCTTGTTTCCGGAATTGAAGGACCTCTGGGGCGTGTTGCTCGAGAAACTGCTCGAGAGCGCCCTTCCGAGTGATCGACTATCGAGTTTTCACTGAGACGAGAGGGAATGGCAGGCGTGTGTGGGGTATGTGGTGAGATAGGCTTGCCGGGCGACGATGAAGATGGCGACATTGATGCCGGCGCCACCATTCCAGGCACACTTGTGAGCTGCCGACTCGAGGAACTTGACGAGCGCTGCAGTTGCACAGACGAAGTCATAGAATCTCCCAAGGCGTTGTTTGACTCCCGCATTAGGTGAAACCTGGATAGCTGTGCAACAGTCTTATTCGTTGCTGAGTCCCGTTTCGTTGGCTCAAAACTCTTGAGTGTCTTTTTACTGTCCAGAACCTTTAAGAAGTCGGAGATATCATCTTCTTCAGCTGGCAACGACCCGGAACTGGCGTTGTCAGGCTCAGCCAACAGGCCGGACCCGGGTTGCGCCACCGAAGAAGCAAGGCTCTGTCTCCCACTACTGCCCTGCTCATCATCGGGTCCTCCTTTACTCGGTCCACTAATAGATGGGCGGTTACGGCGATGCGTAAAGCTGCTGCTGTAGCGATTGGAAGATGATGGACGTGGTGAGCCAACAACGGGGATATCTGTAGGCTGCGGAGGTCCGCCTCGCAAGGTCGCTGGCATGCCAGCTGTTAGTGACGTGCGTTGCCTAGGCTGCATCTGCGGGAAAGCCGAGGTCCGGCTTTGCAACGATGCGGGTGATTCTGGTTCGAGAGATCGAGGGACGGGGGAACCTGAAAGGGAACCAGCCTTGAATGGTTGAAACGAGATGGATGGTCTCCTGGCAGATCCATCAGGTCGGGTTGTATGGCGGCTAGACTGTCCCCGGTTTCCAATGGGCAATGAGTTGGGAGCACCCAGGTCGGACTGTTTCGGAAACGAGGCTGGCGGCGAGCTCGTGTCAGAACCAGGAACCTTGACAGATCTGAGCGCAGAGATAGGACTCGTTCCTAGAGCCCCATCGCCATGGAACGTTGAGAGACTTCCATATGTTTGATGAGCATCACTTATGCTAGGCCGTTTTCGATGATCTCGGAACGAGCCAACCTCGGGCTGTGCGACTCTTGGCGAGTCCACTCTTTGTGGTATTGAGGGCTTAAAGTAGTTTTCGTCAATGCCCATGAATCTAGAGCTCAACAGCGACTCTGCATCATCGATTCTGAAGCTGCATTCGTTTCTGTAGGTGACAGACGTGCTTAGACGACCAGCGGGAACGTCCAAGTCCCCAAACATGTATTCTGTAACTGGATCGGGCCTACCGTCGATGGGAGTCCTTAGAAGGTCTCGGGAGTTCCTGCTTGGACGCTGCATGAGTATCCTGCAACGGGGGGTAAGAGCCGCGACGCAGCCTTTTGCTCTTCCTTGGCTGGTGAATTTCCAGGCTGGTACAAGTCTTGTGGTAATAAAGAGGGATCTGAAGAAAACAATGGCCTTTTTGTAGATGGTTGGGAGGATGGGGCCAAAGTCGTCAGTTGGTAGGGAGTTGTTCGGTATCAACTCCACAGTCCAACGTTCTAGCACAACTTCTGTGTTGCGGTCGAATGTGTTGGGCGACGTGCTATCACTTGATCGGGACAACTGGAGCTGTTCCATGACATCCCAGCGTTTTCCATGCTCGTCTACAGTGATAAGACTTTGGCTTTCCTTGAGAGATGACGCGTCTAGATACACCTCGATGACCATTGGAGGTGGGAGGTTTTCCAGACTGCCACAAGTCTTCCAAGTCCTGAGCTCTTCTCGAAAGTCATCAATTTCGTCCGTCTCTATTTGATACTTTACCAAATGTCAGCAATGGTGAGAGATGGCGCAGAAACGAGGCAGTACATACCCATCTGTTCACCTTGGGTGCTCCGCTAGAATTCCGTATGGGCCGCAACTTCATTCTTGAGTCTAGAATTAATGCGGCAGCCTTGGTGTAAAAATTCTACCGAATTGTCAATAATGAAGTAGCAGGGTGGGTTTTGCATCATTCAACACACCTGCACTATTTGATCCAGCTTCTTGACAGAATCGCTGGGCAGGCTGGAAGCTGATGGGCCCTCGCTAGGTGCTGGAGCTGATGAAGGCTGGTTCACGGAGAGGGTAGACGCCGCCCGGGAACGAGCGCCGCCGATGCCAGCATCAGCGTTGGATACATTTCGAGAGGATGGAAGTTGTGGTGATGGTGCCGGGGACGAGGCCTTCCTCTGTGGTATCCTGGCTTGTTGGTGCATCGTGTAAGACAGAAGGCTTCGGGGACGGGGACTGGGAAGGGGAGGGGAGTGGCGTCGGGGGGCAATTAGGCGATAGAAGTGCGCTCTTCCATCGTCGTTGACTGACAGTCGGTAATGGTCTTGGATGGATGTGATATCAAGCCACTGTCGTTATGGGCGAAGCAGGTAGATGGACAAGGAGCCAGGCTAGTAGCTAGTCACCGGTGGTCGGACAGCAGCTGACACAAGGGTCGCTCAAGAGCGGTGCACAAGAAGACAGAACGTGGTGCGAGTACAGCCTCAGGACGGGGTGCGGCGAAGGGAGTAGTTTGTATAGGTATCGGAGATGGAAGGACGATGGTCGAGCTTGTCAAGTGGCTTTGGGTCTGGCGACGATGTGAGATGGGGGATGGGTCCGAGGACGGGTCATTCGTGGCGGCAGGTCTAGGGACCTCGTGATGCGGATCGGATAGAGAGATGGATAGCTTTCGTGATAGGCTGGCGTCGCAGGAGAGGGTTGGCGATAGGGAGAGGGGAGGAAGGAAGCTGCTAGGATAGGAATGAGGATGAAAAGACGGCAAAGCAGGCCAAGAAGAAGCTGAGGGAGGAGGAAGAGAGCGGTCGGTGGTTGATGGGAGAGGTGACTCGAACGACAGCGTCGATAACGCAATGGGCACAGGGCTACGGAGTACTAACTAAAGTCGTGGAGAAGAAGCGGGTGCTGGGGGCGCATCTGCTATCGCGGTACCTGCTGATTAGCGGGAGAATGGTAGATCAAGCAGGTATCGCTTGAGCAGGGCAACCTGTCAGTCAAGCGGCGCTAGGCGTGTCCTGGTGGCCCATGATGAGCCATGGCGCATGGCCAGGCGGGTGGATACCTACTACCCTAGGTACCTGGTTGGTGTACATCCATTAGTTAAGACAGCAGCCTGGGCGACGCATCACGGCAAGTATCCTGTACCCAATCGCAGCCTGCTGATACCTCTTTGGCGCCCGTTGAAGGCCCCACTAGTCAGGTCCCGATGCAGTATCTGGTACCCGCAATCGCTGGTCGCAGGCGCTGGCTGGGTGCTGGCCGGGACCGGGACATGCAGGTTGAATGAAAAGAAATACGGGGTTGGCTCTAGGCTGCCGGATCGTATCTAGGCACACTGTTTGGATTGTGCTACCTTGATGTCGAGAATTATATGTGCGTGCTGTTTGTTGCCTTTGAATGCTGGGGAGACGAGGCCAAGAGGCATTGGCCCTGACCAATCGACCAGACCATGCTTGTCTCGAGCGATTGTGGTCGCTGTGCTGCTGCAAGTTGCACCAACCTCATTCACGAATAGCTAGCCAACTCGTGAATGAATCAGTGAATGACTGCCACGTCCAAACATGAGCCGCCCAGGATGCTGCAGCTTCTGCCTAGCTGTCGTGTTACCGTTACCGTGGGTGGCCCCGTCTTGGGATGGAGAGTGTGCCACCACCAGCTAGTTATCCAAAGAGAGCCTTCTCGTCTTGTCTGTGCCACGTATTGCAGAACAGCTGTCAGGCCACAGGTGCAGAGCGATCTGCAATTCGGCAATTTCATGTCTGTGCAGCCAGTCGGTTGTCAGTTTGTTGAACTAGCTGTGGTTGGTGACTCTGGGTACCGTACCTATGGAATGAGACGGTGAGACGGTCACTATGCAGTTTTCTCCCGTTTTGATATAAAACCGTCAAGCTTTGGCCGATGATTTATTCTGCATATTTCAAATGAAATTGTGGCGGTGTCTACCCAAACACAACATCTGAGGAGCCCAGCCAGTTGAACGTTTCGCACCACTCGGCATCCATAACTTTGTGCATTCTTGTCCAAGAAGCACAGTGTTATCAGACACGGATTATAGTTCTGGATGACAGTGAGCCTCGCTTCTGTGTGCCGCGCGGCCCTGTAGGGCTGTGAAGGCGCCTCTTGGCTCGCCTTGATAATTTACTTATTCCAGGTGGCTGCAGAGCCTGTGCTGTGATAGATATAGCGGCCGAGGACGCTAGAGAGGCGGCTCAGGCCTCCCACCGGCTCCAACTAGAGCTACGAGGAAGCAAACCAAATCATTCGGGCTATTCTTTGAATGATCAAACACAATTTTTATGTTTTTACTTGGTTTTTGCTTGGAGTTTTTTGATAAGGCCTGTCTGTCTTTTACAGCGTTTGACTTGCCGCTTTCCTTGTTGCTGGCGATTCTGTCACGCGCCTACTTGAGTAGGTAGGTACCTACAGGTAGGTACGTACCTAGGTACAGGGAGATGGTCAAGAAAAAGACAGCGCTCCAAGGACCATGTATTTTGTCCTGTATAAGGCACTCTATACACGTAACTTAGGTATACGAATTTTCTCGAATTTTTATTTTTTCTTTAGCAGCCAACTGTCACTGTTGCTGGACTCTCAGACCAACCCTCAACAGGTCTGTCAACCTGCCCGGCTAGGCGCTTCCCCACTCGACCCAGAGGGCCACAGCCCAGCTTTCGCGTCCTGATGACGAACTTGCTCCAGTCCGCCTGCTGCTGGGCCGTGGCTGACGTCCACCCACTGCCCACCAAGCTCGCCACTGCACCTCCTCCATTCACCGTGACGGGCTCTGCATCGACTCGACCCATCTGTAGCATCCTCAACACCAGCTTCCAATAAAAAATCTACTCCAGAATACCCCAAAGTGCCTTTCGCCTGCCGCCCGACCACCACCTTCACCGACTCTCGCCCACCTGCCTCTCGACCCAAGCACCGCAGCCATGTTTCGAGCCGCGGCCGTCGGTCCTTTTGACGATGCTGTTGGTAAGTCGTGTGACAACCCGCACTGCACATGCCCGCCATATCCATGCTAAAATGTTATCAGCCAAGGCGACGGACGAGAACCTCACCTCGGAGGATTGGGGCGCCATCATGGAGGTATGCGACAAGGCCACCGGCGACCAAACAGGCCCGAAGGAAGCTGTCCAGAGCATGATTAAGCGTCTCGCGCATCGCAATGCCAATGTGCAACTATATACACTCGAGGTAGCTAACCCCGAGCATCTTTCTTTGCTGCACATGCTAAAGATGATCTAGCTTGCACACGCGCTCTGCCAAAACTGCGGAAAGCCCATGCACCGCGAGGTTTCCAGCCGTGCCTTTACCGACGCCCTTCTCAAGCTCGCCAACGACCGAAACACACATCAACAAGTCAAAGGAAAGATCTTGGAGAAGATGAAGGACTGGAGCGAAATGTTTAGCAAGGATGCCGAGCTTGGCATCATGTACGACGCCTACTACCGACTCAAGCAAACCAACCCCACGTTGCAAGCCCCCAGCGCGCCGCAAAAACAGGGTCTCACTGCGTCAGACAGGCAAAAGGAGGACGATGAGCTGCAGATGGCACTAAAGCTGAGTTTGCAAGAAGATGATCGCAAAAAGGCCGTTGCATCCGCGAGCTCTGCCCAACCTGGCTCTTCTGGCAACGACGAGGCTGCACCAGCTCCACCAGTGCCCGCTGGTACCACGGCCGCCACCGTTAGCCGAGTGCGCGCCTTGTTCGACTTTGCGCCTTCCGAACCGGGTGAGCTGGAGTTTAAAAAGGGCGACGTTATAGCTGTGCTCGAAAGTGTATACAAGGACTGGTGGCGCGGCTCTCTCAAGGGCAATACTGGTATCTTCCCCCTCAACTATGTCGAGAAGCTCACGGATCCCACCCCCGATGAGTTACAGAGAGAAGCACAGATGGAAGCCGAGGTCTTTGCAGAAATCAAGAATGTGGAGAAGCTTTTGACTTTGCTAAGCGCCTCTAACACGGGTCCTCGGGAGGAAGACAACGAGGAGATCTCTGTGAGAACATCAACCCAGCAAGTCAGGAATGCTCTCATATGCTAACATTTAATAGAAGCTCTATCACCAAACCTTGGCAATTCGCCCAAAGCTTATCAAGCTAATCGAGAAGTATTCCCAGAAGAAAGGTACGCCAAGCTCTTGACTGCAGCAGCTTTTATATGCTAACACTCTCCAGACGATTTTACGCAGCTCAATGAAAAGTTCATCAAGGCACGCCGCGACTACGAGTCCCTCCTCGAGTCCTCCATGGCGCACCCCCCTCAGCACAACTACCAGCAATACGCCATGAGGCCCGGCTCAGGCTACCCTCAGGCCGGAGGCTATCCCAGCCAGCCACCCCCGTCGCAGGAGCCCAATCAATACTACAACTCCGCGCCCCCGGCTGGCCCAGACCACGGCTACCATACATCCTCTCCTGGTCCCAGCTTCCCACCTGGTGGCCAACCGAGCGGCGCCCCCTTTTATGTAGGCGGAGCCGAGGTGCCGTCCCAGACCGGGAACCAGCCGTCCACTCCCCAGCAGTACCCCCCTCGCGACCCGACCCCGCGAATCCCCTCCTCCTCGCAACCGCCCGTGCCCAACAACAGCACATCACCTCCACCTCAGGGCCAAAGCTACACACCCTACTCCCCCCAGCCTCAGCAACTGTACCACCCGCCGCCCCAGCAGACCCAGCAGCCGCCACCTCTTCAGCCCGTGCAGCGGCCCCAGAGCACCTACGGTGCGCAGGAGCTCGCCACCTCGGTCTACGACTCTCCCATTGCACCGCACAACCCGAACAGCTTCTACCCCCAGGACGAAGCCGCCGCCTTGCCGCCCGCACATCAGCAGCAGGCACCCTCGCAGCCTCACTACCAGAGCTACGCGCCGCCTGACCAGGCCCCGCCCCCTGTGCCAGCCGGCCAGCCTCCGCAGGTCCCTGGCGGCGGTGCTCCGGCCAGTACTACCCCTCAGTATAAGCCATATGTCCCGCCCGGAGCCTCCGCTCCCGATGGTCCCAGCGCACCCAGCCCCAACGACTATTACCGCCAACCTGGTGGCTATTGAGCTGACCAGACTGACGGGAGAAGAAAGTCGATCCGTGGTTGCTTGGACCACGCGTGACAAAAACCCCAGTTTGTATGGGTTGTGTGGTTATTGGCTTACTTGGCAAGCAAGATAGTGCGATATGGGAAGTATACAGGACAAGAAAGAATCGGTAGCAGCATACTTTACGACTAGCTAGCTAGCGACACGTTTTGTTTGAAATCTGGATTATTTAATGATATCATTTCGGTTACCACGGAACTCGCTACTCTTTGTGTTGTGAATCGTTCATAAATCTCTAGAATTAAAGTAGGAGTGTCCGGTATCGCTGCAACCAAATCATAAAACAGTACTCCTTCTGCTTGAACCACAGGAACATTACAGGACAAAGTTACCACCGTCGTCCGTAGACAGAGCTCTCCTCGCGCCGCGGCGGCGACTTCTTGCCGTTGCCGCTGCCGCTTACAAAGCGTGAGGCGGCGCCAATCTGCTCGCGGAGGCCCTTGGAGCCCGTACCGTTGCTGAAATGACCGTCGGGCTTGAACATGGCAAGGATTTCGCCGAGGCCAAGCTTGAGCGCGCCCTTTTTGGCGCCGGTGTCAATGGCCTGCTCGGCGAGCAGCCGCTTTTTCTCTTGCAGGTCAAGGATTCGCTCCTCGACCGTGTTGGCGACGGTGAGCTTGTAGACGACCACGTCGACGGTCTGGTTGAGGCGATGGACGCGGTCAATGGCTTGCTCCTCGACAAACTGTGATTTTTCCGTGGTAAGTAAGGGCAGAAGGTTCACTGAGACATTCGTGTGGACGGAAGGGGGGGGGGGACATACGGGGTTCCAAAAAGGCTCGACAATGACGACACGGGTGGCAGCCGTGAGGTTGAGACCCAGACTACCGCACTTGAGACTGCACAAGAGCACGCGGCAGTTTTTGTCCTCGCGGAGTCGGCGCAAGCTCTCTTCGCGCTCGTCGTTACGCATGCTGCCGTCGTAGCGCGTAAACTTGAAGCCGTCTTTGCGGACAAAGGGCTCAATCAGGTCCAGCATGGACGTAAATTGCGAAAAGACAATGAATTTATGCTCGTGGGCCTCGGCGTGCAGGATACGACTGAGCTCGCGAATCTTGGCAGACGCTGCAATCTGGCTCGTGCCGGGCGCCGGGCGCCCATCGTCGTCGTCAGAATATAGTTCCGACTCGTCAATGGCAGACATAGAGCTCGACGATTCATCGTCAGAGCTGCCATCGTCGTTGTCGTCGCTCTCGGTGACAGAGGCCTGCGATGCTGCAGATGGCTTGTCTTCCAACGTCTGTGACCCAAGCTGTCTGGCTAAGGCGTCTATCGACAAAAGAGAAGCATTCGAGTCCTGTGCATGCTTTTGATCGTTCTCGTCATCGATGACAAAGCTGCTCAGGTTGCTCTGATCCTCATCTTCCGACTCCTCTTCGTCCGATCGAAGCCACTCGGTAGGCCCGGCAGCATTCTCGTCTTCTTCACCTCCAGCTTTGCCAAGATTTACAGGGCCTCTTTCACCGTCCGCAACAAGCCAGCTACCTTCCGCACTGTCTTCGTCATCGCTGTCAATAATAGCATTGCGGTTGCGTGGACGTCGGGTTGCCTGGCTGGCTGTTGGCTGCTGCTTTTGCTCAGGTTGGCGTTGCTTGTTGGACTTGGACTTGGACTTCTTGACCTTCGTCGCCTTCTTCTTTTTCTTGCTGCTCTTTTCAAATTCCTTGAACTCGGCCATGTCTTCCTTGCAAGACGAGCAAGTACCGAGCCCTTGTGTAGCATCGGCTTTGGAAAGCTCCATGGAGCAGATATCGCATTTCTTGGATTCTATCCCCATTCCAGAAAAGAGATCTGCAATGGAATCTATCTCAGTCTCTTGGGACTTTTGATTTTGACTCTGGCTCTGGCTGCTGTCAGTAGTCATCGCATCCCGATCCTTCTCAATCTTGCCCTCAACAAGTTTCGGGTGGTTACAGGCCTGTCTCAGACGCAGCAGCAGTGTAAAGGCATTCAGGTAGCTGAGCCCCTCTTGCATGATGCGCTTCATACTCTCGCCAGTTCGATCCTCTAGGCGATCATAGAAGTGGCGTTCCGCAACAGAAAGCTCAGCGGAGACAGTGATGACCTTTCGTTCGGTGTGCTTGAAGCCAGGACCAGGATCATCACCCTCGCTCTCGCCCTCGGCAAGCTTGCCTCCAGGCTTCAATGCTCCTTCCTCCTTCAAAATATCTTTTGTGCGTCGCTTCATGAAGCACTGGAGAACGCTGTGTAAACGTCCAATAGCAATATGTCCCTTGCCATTCTTCAACGGTTGATCAATATGCTCTCTCCACTGGCGCAGTTCGTCATATGGTTTGATCCGCAAGAATCTAATAAGTGACTGCAGTTCGTCGAGATTGTTTTGCATCGGTGTACCAGTCAAACACCAGCGATATTCAGATCGCAAGGCATAGCAAGCCTTTGTTGCCTTGGCGTTGCGATTCTTGATGGTGTGAGCTTCATCTAGAACAATGCGCCACCACGTTGGGCCGAAGCAGCCAGTCTTCTTGCCATCTTCAGCCTCTGACGAGCCGGCATGATCTGATACCAAAATCTGATACGTCGTAATAACAACGTTGTATTTCATGAAATCCTTGAAGTTCTTGGTTCGTTGTGGGCCATGGTGGACATAAACTTTTAATCCGGTGGCCTTTTCCACCTTGTCATTAATCTCGTGTTCCCATTGTCGGATGAGAGCTAACGGAGCGACGACCAGAGTAGTTTTTTCTGTCTTTTCGTATTGGGGCTTCCAGTTTTCTGAGCCCTTTTCCGGTTTGAGGTTTGAAAGAATCACAGCCACGGTCTGAAGAGTTTTACCGAGACCCATGTCATCCGCAAGAAGCCCTCCTTTGGGAACGGTGCCTCGCTTCACAGGGCCGAGTTCCCGACCAACCATCCATTCGACACCCTCAACTTGATGAGGCAATAGGCGGACCTTCAGACCGTTTATCCTGCCATCTTTGCTTATACGCTGTTTGACTTGTCTCTTGGGCTTTTCTGTCGTCTTCTCCTCCTCCGAGGTAATCGCAGGTGGCTCTGACTGCTCCTCCTCTTCAACTTCATCGTCCACACCACCTTCGAGCAGCGCCTTCAGATCTGCACTGGCCTTTGCAGGGTCGGTATAGAATATTTCCTCGCCAAGCTTGCCGAGAGCGGGCTTTTCTACCTGATTTGAGTTGAAGACGGGCAGAGGAGGGGGTTTGCGATCGGCGTAGGCGCGGGGCTTTGGGGCATTGATTTTGGTGTTGCTAATATGGTGTTCTGGTCGGGTTGTCTGACGAATAAAGACATCGGCCTTCTGCTTGCGAGACGATACCAGCTTCGTTGGATGCCCAAATCCTGGTACTTTTGTCGTTTCTGGAAACGGGGGTGTTGAGCCTTGGGGGACGCTGGTTTTAAGTGAGGACCATCCGTTGACGATGGCACTAATATCGTCGTCGTCGTCCGTAGATTTCGCCTTGGAGGGCCCAGCACTTCCCCCTGCCGCAAGGCGGCTGGCCAGAGACTGCAAGGGTGGTGCTCGTTCGTTGACCATTGTGCCGTGTATTTCGTGGAGTGCTGAGTCTTTGGTCTTGTTGTGCTTCTTGGACCACTTGGGGAAGTCTGGGAGCTCTGAGGAATTGATATTGCTGGCTGGCTTAAATGCGAAGCCTGCACCGGGTTTATATCGCTCGTTCTGGTTCATGAGATGGATAGAAATTGTAAGGAGTGCAATATTGAACGTTGCATGCACATAAAATCAGGTCCCTCTTGCACAAGTTTGTTTGAAGGAAATGACATAATTGCCCCAGCAACTAGGGTGGGCGTTAGCGCGGCATTGTAGGCGTGAGACACTGTGCTGAGCCTAACAGTTGGTACCCCGCAACACAGTGCGAACGCGACATCGCTAAACAGCGGGCATGAGAAGTAAATCGGGTCTTCAAGTGTTCAAGCGGAGAGGAAAATACAAGAAATACAAAGAAGAGTAGAATCCCTTATACTGTAAGAAGTGGCGATAGAGGTCCAGAAGAATTGGGAGACAACCCCTTATCAGGCAGGAAAAGAAGGCAGCCGGAGAAGAGGACATACCTACCTCATTATCGTAGCTCGGTTTGCTTGCCTATTCCAGCAAGTTGAGATACTGGTATTTGCAGTCTTCTCCCTCAATTCTGAGTTTCCTGAGTTTGGTAGTTTTTGTTGTCCTTTTTGAATTAAAGCCTGAAGTCTTGTTTTATCTACTCCGACTCTCCATCATCATGGGAGTTTGCCTTGAGATTCATTTGAGTTCAAGGACACAGGCATTCGCCAAGGACCTACAAAGCCCCCCTCAACGTCCCAGCGACCTTCGACGCGACCTCATCATTATCCATTCTCCATTCTATATTCCATTCACATTCGCAGTTGTTTGATCGGCCAAGATGCGACAACATTTAACCGTAGACCAGCTTGAACACATCATTGAACACAAAGTACTGTCCGCTAGCCTGGTCACGGGCGAGCTGGAAAGCCTGGGTGTAGTTCATGGGGCGCTGCTCCTCATCGACCTATAGTAGAAGCTATGTTAGTATTTATGCAACGTGTGGCACATGCGTCGCAACGTTTGAATGGCTTACAAGAAGTTGGCCGGTGACGAGAATGACGACACCGCCCTCGACCATGCTAGGCTGAGCATCGAGGGTAGACACCTGGTGCTTGACCTTCTCGAAGGGAAGAGACTGTTTCGCGGGTATTAGAGCGGGATGGCAGAGAGAGCCTATCGCGGGGTATGGCATACCGTGAGCTTCGCAACGATGGCGTCGACACCGAGAGCGGAAGTGGACTCGAAAGTCAGCATAGACTGCTCGCGCTGAGTTTCCGGGAAGAGTAAACGTTAGCACCCAAAACGCTCAATCCCCAGCATCGTCATCTCGTGCTAGGAGGGGGGGTCAGCGGGCTGAACTCACGTAGAGAGCAGAAAGTGCCTTGCGGTCAGTGTCGAACTGTTGGTAGTAGAATTCAATGAATTGCTCTGTTGAGAGTATTTTGTTAGGTGACGTGTCGGCTCGGGGCCCGGGATCAGTGTTGCGAGCACATACTGGCAACGGTCTCGAAATCTACAACCATTTTCCCTTGGTTAGCCACACTGCGAATTTATTGCGTTTGTCAGGGTTGTCAACCCCTCCCGAGGAGGGGCAGAGCTGGAGCGCATACCTCCGGACATCTTGACGGTGTTTGCGGTGCAAAAACGGCAAAGGAATGGGGTTTGATGTGGTTTGAGAGGAACGAGAAAGGTTGCAAATCGACTCGAGATGTGAAAGAGAGGGAGAGCAAGAGGGCTCGGCAGCTTTAAGACTAGTTCAGTCGGGTTGTCGCAATAACTAGCGGGTGCCCAAAACAACGGCTGGTGATGTGGATGGTGGGGGTTGGCCGCCTGGGAAGAGATGAGGGGCTGCACAGTGCACAGGTCAGCATAATTACACTATTCGGGGTGGCGTAGGCCGCCAAAGAGAAAGCCAGTCAAACACGTCTGTGATTGTGTGTGTGTTTTTTTTTTTTTACAGCAGGAGCCCAGCCGGGTTCCTGTTGCAGGCGTGAGGCAGGTCAGCCTGCGCGACATTGGGCGCTGCCCCTGCTGATAATACAGTGCCCGCAGGGTGCCTGGTGAGCCACAACAAGACCCGCCACGGGCACCAAATTTTCTGTAATCTGTACCCCCGCGCCCAAGTACCACCCAACCAAATGATTGGAGCTCCCTTAAGCGGGATATGCAATTGTCGGGGAGCCGGCATCTCTTCGTACAAAAAAAAAATTGACCGCTAACGAAAGTTGCTTCAACTCGCTTCTTCACACGGGTTTCCGCCCGTACTTTTTGATCCCCCAATTGAGCTCAAGACCGGCCAGAGCTGATGATGCAGTCATCAATCACACCTCCGAGGTATTCATTACGTATCTACAGCCCTGGCTTGGTCTCATAGTGACGCTCTTGATCGATCGACTTTGGTAGGCCCTTCTCTGCTTCATTACGGCGCCCATTTCCCCCACGACTCCCATCTCTTTCATGATGACAAAAATTTTCCATTAAGAACGGCCAACTGAATTTCCATGTTGATCACTCAATTATACACTGTCTGACTTGAAAACACATCCGCCTTTGCTATCGCTTCATTTTCGTATGTATGGGCGCAGAAGCTAACATTCTTCTAAAGACACAATCGAATCGACTATGCAAACAACTCGACTCCCTCATCATTAATCAGACTTGGTAAACTGGACGATGCCATCACTTAGGCCACCACTGGCAGTCTGAGTGTCCAGGTCGAGTGCGACTGGGTTTCCATCCACACCGGCCACGAATTTTGCTTTGAGGTACTCATTTTGGTAGCTGCTGTTGCCCAGCATCGTGGCGTAGACCAGCCAGTAGTCGCCCGTCATGTGCTCCAAGATCAATGTGTGCCTGAAGGATGTGTCCGGTCGCGGCCCAATGAGCACAGTCTTGTTGCGACCCTCAAAATCGTCCGCCACTGTAAATGTAACTTCGCCCCAACCCTCGTTCTTGTAGTGCCCGACGAGCTGTCCGGCGTCAAACGATCCCAGCTGCGGCGTGTCGGGCAGGTCAGGGAACAGCGTATTAACGGCCTCTTCCCTCGTCGGTATGCTGTCCCGGATCTTTCTCGATCTACATGAATTTCCAGCATTAGTAAGGCGCCAAAGCAAACAGTATAAGCAGACCTACTTCGCTCGGATATCAATCCTCTTCTTGGCCGGAATGTTCAACTTGTCCTCAATCAGGCGGTACACGACATCGAGCTCCGCAAAGTTGGACGACACGGCCGTATTGCCAAACGCAACGACGCCAAACTTGATGTCGGGCAGCCAAAACACCTCGGCCCCGTACGCGTGCATACCTCCCGAGTGCTGGAACAGCGTGTGGCCGTGCATGGTCTCGCGGCTCCAGCCGAGGCCGTACGTCGAGACGCCCATGCCGGCGTCGCCGTCGTCCACCGAGACAAACACGCGCGGCGTGCGGATGTCCGCGTGCGTCGCCGGCGACAGCGGCGCGCTCTCGTGCAGCAGACAGCGGACCCATTTCGCATAGTCCTTGACGTTGGAGATGACGGCGCCGGCCGCGCCCACGTCCGTCACCGACATGTAGTCGACCGGCGTGTAGTTGCCGGCGCGCTCATCCCACGCGTAGCCGCCCGCAAAGTGCTCGTCGGCGTGCAGCGCCGCGGCCGTGTCAAAGTACGTCGCCGTCATGCCCAGCGGGCCCCAGAGGTGCGTCCGCAGCGCCTCGCCGAGCCACACGCCCGTCACCGTCTCGAGCACGTGCCCGAGCGTCGTGTACATGAGGTTGCAGTACGAGTAGCGGACGCGCGGCTCGGCCGTCATGGCCAGATGGCGCAGGCTGCGCGCCACGTCGCGCGGGGCCACCGGCCGCCCGTCGCGCACCCGGTGCATCGCCAGGTCGTGCCGGCCCATGCCCGTCCGGTGGCTCGCCGCGTCGTTGAGCGTGACGTGCGCCGTCGCCCACTCGTCGGTCAGTACAAAGTCGTCCCGCACAAGCGACGTGATGGGCGTCTCCCAGCCCAGCGCGCCAAACTGGCTGTGGTTGCCCGAGTGGATGAGGTGCGAGAGCAGCGCCGCGGTCTGCGCCTTGGACGTCGACGCCCCGTACCACAGAGTGTCGGCCGTGGCGCGCACGTCGGGGAGCGTGGCGTAGCCGTAGCCCTGGTGGGAGGGGAAGCAGTGGTTAGAATCGAAGAAATCGTGAGAGAGAGCAGGGCCCGTGGCCGCTCACCTCGGTGTAGATGTGGTCGCCGTCTATGACACCGACCGCCATGCCCGGAACATGCCACACGTCCAGCGACTCTTGAACGAATTTTGCCAAATCACCATTCAGAGGATTTGATGCGCCTCCATGTTTCTGGAGAACTGGCTTCTGGCTATCGCTACTGTGAGCCGCGTGAGCGCCAACAACAGCCAGCGCCACGGCTGTGTTTCGCAATGACGGCATTTTCAACTTGAGGACGCCCAATTCGGAAGCAGGCAGCGTCTCCGTGTCGGCTTTTTGATGTAGCTGCTTGTGAAGGGCTTTCAGTCATCGATTGATCAACAACAAACAGAGCTGATTCAGAAGAGGAAAAGAGTTTAGTGACTCGTCAACGGGTAGTATTATTAACTAAATGGGAGCTAACTATCCGTAGCGGGGAGAGACATCAACGGCCCCGGCTGGATGAGGTACCCGGCCTTCTCAATTTATCCAGAAGCAATGCGCACGAGTCTATCTAGAGCAGTCAAGAGTGAATCGCTTACATTTGAATTTGGTGTTACGCAATCACACCGTAGTACAATTGCCACGTCGGGTATGCATAGGGCAAACGCAGGCCATAGCCCCTCACTTGTGACATAGCTAGAATCAACACACATCGTATATCCAATTTGCGTGGAATTACTGTCCGTCGTATAGAAGCTAAGTACTCCGTACGCTCATCCAGTCTCATTCCACCACCAAGCCCTGACAGCACTCCAGCAAGTACCAACACAACCAACAAAGGAAATTTTTCCGGGCGAGCAGAAGCAGTCCACGCCTCGCTCCAGCCACGTATACAGCTATCCGTCTCATATGCATTATTCCTCATGGTCCATAGAAAAGGTGAGTTCTAGGCTATGTAGCATTAGCAATGCTACATGGTGCTAACATGTCTGGGCTCATGTCCAAAAACAACAAATGCCACCGGTTTAATCCTATCGATGCAGTCCCGGCGTGTAGCCGGGGAGTCGCTCTGGGTATGCAACGCTCATTGCAGAAAAATAGGCATCCATCTCGTTGACTAAAATGCAGCGCCAAGTCTTGTATGTGGGCTACAATTCTTCCTCTTCTTTTACTTCCGGCAACTTTAGTTTCGGCTCGGCCGGGATAGCACTCGGTGCCGACGTCGACATAACGGAACCAAGAGCAGCACTGAGACTCTGCGTACTTGAATACTTGTCGTCTCCGACAGCGGCCTGATCAACGCTTGCTCGCGCCTTCTTAAGGGGGCTTCCTACAGTTGCTTCGGCCGAGATGCTTTCGATCGCATGAGCGCTTGTGGACGGCATGGGGATCGCTTGGACAGAGCTGGAGCCCAATTCACCGGGCGTGTCGTTACTTGCTCCGAGCTGCGGAGTGCTCGGCGTTGTCGAAGCTGCGTCTGGGTCGGCCGAGTGTGCTCTCTTAAGCTAATTTCAAAGTTAACATCAAGTAGCGCTGGAAAATGAGAAACTGATTGACAACTTACGTGGATTCGATTCACTCCGTCGGCCAGTTCACCTTGAGATTTGGCATCTTCGGGCGCCAGCTTGCGATCCACATCCTTGTCGTCTCCCGGATCCATATTGACTATGCCATCACTTTCGTCATCGTCGTCGCTATCATCAGCAATGTTCCCGTTGCTCTTCTTCCGGGCCTTGCGACGTCTGGAAGCTTCAGTGGCCTGGTCACGGAAAGCCGAGAAGCCCACGGTTCCTCCGGCCTTCAACGGGCCAAGACTAGAGAAATCTAGCTGACCAGACCGCCGTTTAGCAGATCCGGCGGGCGCATGTGTCTTTGATGATTGCTGCAAGACACCGATCTTTTGTAATTGACCTAGGATATATATTAATCATCAGCACGTATGGTGTCGAATTGATGTTCAACTCACGATCACCGCGGTAAAAGAATGTGAAAACCGCAAAAGGTTTGTCTGGGCCATCGATGCCGGTTACTGTCTGGGTGCTTATCGTCTTTGGATCCAAGGTCTTTGGCTTGGCAAAGCTGGTGGTGTGCTCAACGTCGGCATCTATGCCGCTCTTTTCGTTGTTTCCCTCCTCGTCACCATCATGTGCGTCAAACTGAGGCGAGTACTCTCCTTTCTTGATCTCTCCCGAAGCAAGGACTCGGAACATGGCGACTTTGATTTGACCGGTTGCCTCGGGTGGCTCGTCATCATCCGAGGATGAGCCTGAGTAGTCGTAGACTGCTTCAATGGGGGACCCATCCTCTGCGCCATATCTGAGAGTACCTCGCTTCTTGTTCAGAGAGTCTTGCTCATCGAGGGAGATGCTCTGGCGTTGCTGGCGGCGTTGAAACTTTAGTCGGCGCTTCTCGAGCTTCTCCGCAGCATCGTGGCCCTGGAGATCGAGACCGTTAAGCCATCTCTCAAGGCCGACCTCGCGGAAGAGGAACTCGCGCTCGGCAAGACCGCCGCCCTCGGATTCTGGCACTTGGACCCATCTGCTGTTCACCCAGGTCTCCTCACCAGGGCGTAGAAGTGTGGCGACCTCTTCCTTGTTACGTCCGTCAAAGTAAATGTATGCGGCAATCGTTTCGTTTTCGGAGTTGGTCATGGGGATGTAAGGGCTGACGAGGCCCATGAATTTACCACGTTCGCCATGGGAGCCGGGATGAAGACCACCGACGAACTGAGGCTTGGGGTAGGGATTGGTTTCAGTGGGCTTGGGGGCAGAATAGGGAATCGGCAAGCCAGAGGTGAGGAGGGTTATAGATATGGCAAACTTGGCGGGTTCAGGTTTGGTGGGATCCTGGCCTATCGAGGGCTGCGGAACGGGTATGTAGGTGCTGATGCGTGACAACCTGGACTGCTTCTGCATGCCATGTTCCGGCAGCGGGGCTCCATTGGCGTGGACGCTCACCGCAATGCCCTTGAAGCAGGGCATCTTGGCGCGGTAGGTATGGCCAGAGTGTGCGTATCAATAGTTGTATGGGAGGCCAAGATTGCCCGGGCTCGTGTGCAGGGTTGCGAATTTCGAGAGAAGCGAAGCGAGGGGGTTGGTGCCAGTTTATCGTCGTGGTGGTCGTGGTTGGGGAAGGGCGGTGGGGGTTCGTGCCTGGTAGCTTTCTAGGCACCGGACCGCCTTGCTAGATATTATTTAGCAGCAATAACTACCTAGTGTACCAGGTAGCAGTGGGGAGCCACCAGTCGGGAAGCTTCACGAGCGTCCAGTCTCGAGTCAATAGCAAGCAGCAGACGGGTGATTTGGTCCGTGCGGTGAGGCTTCTGCAGAATACAGTGGCTGCTCTCTACCAACCAGACTCGATCTGGACTGTGTTGGTGGTGGACGGGCTGGCTGGCGAATCTGTGCAGAAGGAAACCTCTGGAATGCCCTCATGCGGTGTGGGGAGCTGTGTCCAAAGCGAGTTTGCGGGCACGCGGCTTGACGTACGTCAAACAAAGCAAGAAAATAAGGATGTGGTGCAAGCCGGAGCAAAGGACGTCTCGCGATATGCAGGACACGAAGTGGTGGTGAAACCAGAAGACTGGCAAGGAGAGCAAATTCGACACGATGCCTGTGTCCGAGTGATGGATCGAGGTGACGGGCAAAGTTAGGCTGGGCGGCGGCACAGAGCGGGAAGCGCCCGTGGTACGTCTGGAGGAGCCCCACGGCAGCTTTTTGCACGTTGGAAGAGCGGATTGTTAGGTATGTCGGTTAGAGGTACTAGGTATCTGGCAGCTAACGTTAGCGTGTTCAGAGATGGCCGGCGAGGAAACAAGAGGTTGACAATACCAGCCACCGTAGTTGCAAAAAATAGTAGGCAGTATCTTTGCTTCTTGGGCTATTTTTCCTACGAATAAATCTCATGTCACTCTGTCTCGTCACCTGCCTCGTAACCTGCTTCGATAATTGCATTACAAGTGATACAAAAGTACCTACCTACCTACCGGTACGGAGTAATAATAACCTTGTATGCCATCAAACGGGTCCACCAGCCTCATCCTCAATGCTGTGCCAATGACCAACTACGGTAGCTAGGCGCCGAATGGAGAGTGCACAAAGAGCAACCTGGATTTCTCAAGTAGATTAGGGAGGAGAAGTAAAGAATAAAAAGAATGAAACGAAACGAAACGGCAGAAAGAAAATAGAGAGCACACTCGACCAGTACTACATCCACTGTCACTACTATCAAAGCAAGGGTATCAGACCAACACCACCGCCTCTTATAACACACCTTGCGGTTCCCCGTCCCAGGCAGTCACATCCTCTCATCGACTACAGCAATCCTTGCGACGCTCTTCGGCGCACCGTCTCGGCGCCCCCTTTACTGTAGCTCGTGCCGATTCCCGACACAGCCTCGCGCTGCCTGTCCTCCGCCTCTGAATCTCCCTCGTCGTCAGCTTCACCTCCGGCAAGCGGGATATCGGCCAGGGATCGTTCTGGTGTTTCCTCCCCCTTCATTATAGACTCTTTTTTGAAGAACGAGGCACTCTCATGCTTAACAACACGACTTGTGGCCGCCTCATCTTCATCTTCAGCGTCGAGGTCGTCACCTGAGTCGGTAGCGTCTCCCTCCCCTGATCCTCTTAGCCGCAGCTTGTCCCCATCAACAGGCATGGAAGTAAAAGAGTTCCAGGCCGACCAGGCAGCGCTCATGAATAATACTTCGAAAAACCAAAACAGCAGGGTGAAGGCGATGTACGTTAGCACATAGTAGTTTACCATCAGGTACCGTAGTCCGCGGAGCTGCGCCGTGAGCGTCAATTGCGCGCTGTAGATTTGTATATCCTGTCCAGCTTCCACCTCTATATACGCGGCAGCTGGCTTCAGTGACTCTCTGTCAAACGAGACGCGTTCGGCTAGCATCACCGTCAGCGCGTACCGCTGCGAGGTCGTCGAGAGCAAGTGGTATGCCATCAACAGTACGCGAGACGTGACGGACACCAGCGGGTCCACGTATGGCACCAGCGCCGGCCGGCGAGAGCTGAAGAGCACCTTGTTCAGGCCAAAGCCGGCATGGCTCCTCGCAAACTCGTCGGCGCGAGCTGCAAGAGTATTCTGGTCGCGAGAGTCAATTAGGTGTAGGCTGACCATGAAGTTGCCGCGGTCTAGGTTCGCCGGGGATCGGGGCATCGTAAATGTAACGGATACGTCGTAGTCTTGTAGGGCCTTCATGCGCGACGCCGCCAATGGAGCTATGCCGTACGGGTTCGGGCTCGATCTGTTTGTGCCCCGCGTTAGCAGCCCTGGCTCCTCCCTCAATCAGCGCCGCACGGCAAAGATCACGTACCCATATTGCAAGTACACAGGCGCAGTCACGATCTGATGCGGCAGGTAGGCTTGGAAGAAGAGTGCCGATGAGATGGCGGCGAGGCCCAGCAGGGTGCCTATTCCCGACGCGAGCAGGATCGCATTGACGACCACCCGCTGCATCGGCTTGGACGTTAGGGTCTGAACGGCATCCCGCAGTGTTTCCTGCTACCGCGTTAGTTTCAGCTGCAATTCATATATATATCCCACAGCTCAAAGAAGGCTTCAGGAGATTCCGCACCATATTTGTGCCGCGCATAGAATAGGATGGTAAAGGCGTAAGTGTATAGACAGCTCCCAAAACTGGGCCGCCTACGTACCTAGGATGTAGGTACCTACCTAGGTACCTATGTAGTTCTCTATTGTTATTCACCTAGTGTGATACATGTGACTACAGCCTAGCGAAAAATAATCGACATTCCATATCAGCGCCATCGCGAAAGCATGTAAATAGTATTTCTAGCTTAATAATATCGGTACGTGTCATTAACATGTCAGTCTTATACGACGTGCTATTCTGAAAGAGCCTCGTAGCTGCAACGCGAAAAGCAGTCATGTGTACAAAAAACGCAACCTAGTCCCATCCTCCACATTGTAGTTATTGCAATCAGTCTTGAAAAACATACCATATACAAATCAAAAATTCGTTTCCCGCATCAATCCATTAACATTGCTGGAGATAATTGCTTGGGACCAGCCCAACGCGGCCATTGCCGCCGTGTACCTCCGCCTCCCACCAACCATCATCCTGGTGTCGAAGAACACCGAGGATGTCCCCCTTGGCAAATCCAAGCTCCTCTGGGATAACTGCTTGGTACATGTAGAGAGCGCGTGCTGTGAATAAGTTTTAGTCTTGTCCAATTTTACCCAGATGCTGCGTACATACCAAAATGAAGGATAACCCTGCCGTCTGGCGTGTATTGGCGAGAGGAATCGACAACACTCTTGCTACGAGGGCGGGAGCCACCTTCATACAAGCCCATGGCGTGAGAGTCACCTCCTCTACCGCGCTTGGAATCGTACATGTCCCCACCCACAGGGGCCAATTGAACTGCCATATCGCTGCCACCATAGCTGCTGTGAGGACGAGCGGCGCCGTAGTCCACATAAGACGCGGGCGAAGATCCTCTGACGGAGCCTCTCATTGAGCCATGAGGAGAAGCGTGATTGTATGGGTCAGTGTGCGTCTGCGAGCCGCCCCGCTGGTGCTGTGTACGAGGGTTGGGGGATGCAGAGCGGAAGCGAGGATCGTGCCCTGTTCTCGGCTGCGGCGATACACTTCGCGTAGGAGCAGGAGATGCTGCTCGTGGCATATCATAACCACCACGGGTTCCGGGGCGTGAGCTCGGCGACATGCCGCTGTCTCTGCTGCCTTCACCAAATATGCTTCGCGTCTGACTGGCAACCTTCTTAGAAGCTTGCTTCATTGCCTTGGATGTCACGGCGGGTGGTGGTACTCCGAGCCGGGAGACCTGTGACTGAGAGCTATATGCTGGTGGTGTGCCACGGGCAGCTGCTGCGCCATCGTGAATGCCTGGTGCCGGAGTTGCAATGCCGTGATAGCGGTCAGCGGACATGCGGACAGAGCCGGCTTTGCTGCCGCCAACCTTCAGTTCGGCAAGTGCGGCAGCAATTGGATCGGTCTCGTCAACGCTGGCTACGGGTGCATGGCCACCTCGGCGTCGCGTGTCAGAGGTTGAGACTGGCAGGATATTCTGGCCAACGCCGAGTGCAAGGCTGGCATTGACATCAATGGGCTCAGGGCTCGAAGCCCTTGCTGCTGCAGAATGTCTGGTCTGCTCCTCTTGGTTGTACAGAGGCGGTCTGCGTGGGCTTCCAGAGGTAGCGCTAGCATGCCAGGTGTTGCGGTTCGTTTCGGGATTGACCTCTTTAGTGCTCTTGCGGCGAAAGGGGCTGTGGTTCTGGAAAAATCCGCTTTTCTTCTTGAACACTCGCTTTTCCGGGCTGGCAGCAGGCTCAGGCTCATGCTTGATAGGCGATGTCTTACCGCTAGGGGGCTCGACGCTGGAGAACGAGTTCGGGTTGGAATACTCGCTGTGCGAATCTCTGCTAGATGGCCTGGCAGACGTAACCTGAGAGCTGAGATCCGAAGGTGGGCCGGTACGGCACAGCATCGTCATGCCATCCATGGGATAAGGGTCATGGGGGACAGCCGCCAAAGGCCCATGCTGCTTGCTATCGTATTGCTGGGCACTCATCTGGGGGGGTGCTCTACGGAACTGCTCATCAATAGATGGCCGCCCCTGGCCGAGTGATCCGCGTTGCGGGGTGACCGTAGTCTCTCTGCTTCCGGGTTGCATCAAGCTGTCTCGTTCGTCAACAGATGGTCTTCCCTGGCTGTGGCGCCCACGTTGAGGCGTGGCTATAGTTTCTCTGCTTCCAAGGTGCATCGGGTTGTCACGTTCGTCAACATACGGTCTTCCCTGGCTGTGTCGCCCACGTTGAGGTGTGGCTGTGGCTTCTCTGCTTCCGGGAAGCATCAGGTTATCATGCTCGTCAAAAGACGGTCTTCCCTGGCTATTTCGAGCACGTTGAGGTGTGGCTGTGGTTTCTCTGCTTCCGGGATGCATTAGGTTCTCCCGATGTGCAAGATCATTCGCCAGCTTGGACGCGGGATCATGATGGGACTCGAAAGTTGATGGCTGTGGCGATGAGGACCGGAAGGCAGGGTTGATACTGCGAGGGAACTGGGCAACTGAGTAGTGATCGTCGTCTGAGACGTCAGACAGGCTATCAACATCGCCCCGGCGAAAGTTGATGTATTTGGGGGCGTCCGGAATCTCTTGACCAGTCCCTTGTTCTGAGATGAACGAGGTAATGTCCTTCTCAACTTCCATGTTCTCCAGCGAAAGACGAATCTTTTCGCAAGAGGAGTCATCACTGACACATACAGTAGAAGCAATGTTGGCAAAGGTCCACAGGCTGCTTTTCGTGAAGTCCAGGCGCTCCTCTTCCAAGTCCTGGAACTTATCCGCCGCAGCCTTCCATTCTCGGTTCCATCGAACTGTGGTCTCTTCGAGGGCTTTGATCGCGGTTTCATATTCGGTATTGGATGCAGCAAGACTGATCTGCGTCTTCTCGAGCTTGGCTTTATTGCGGCGCTCTTCTTGGCCCATAACCATATGGCCCTGTGCGAGATAACCCTTGATCTTCAGGCATTCTTGTTCATACTTGTCTCGCGTCTGAAATTGTTAGAAGTGGCGACTTTAACGGCACTGTAGTTGTGTACATACCTTGTTAACTTGTTGTGTTTGTTGAATCTTTGTCTTCAAGATCTTTTCAATGACGTTCTGGACAATCTTTCGGCGTTCCTTCATGCCACCTGCAAACGCAGACAGCGGCTCTTCTAACTCAGTCTTCATCTGGGCTGCGATGCTTTGATGCTGTTTGCCCATGCTCTCAACCTCACCACGGAGAGTATCGAGCGAGGCTTTCAGGCTGCCAGTTTCATGGGAGCCCAGAGATTTCTTGCTCAGATTGAGAAGTTTCTTAGAGTATTCGTCTTCGAGCGAGGCGCGAGCTGAATTTCAATTAGAGTCGAGTGTTGAGAGTTTTGGGAGTGTTGGCCATGTGTTACCGGTATAAAATGACTTCAATTCATCATTTGTTTGCTTGGCTGCCGCCATACGATCCAAGAGAGGTTGGACGCCAGCATCATCTTTGCCCCAAAAGTTGTTGGCAACTGGAAGCGCGTCAGAGGAAGGAGAAGATCACAAGCGCGGCAACAAACATACAAGACAGCGCAACGGCTGGTGCTTCGGTTGTGGCCGCAGGCATATTGCCCGTCCCGTTATCAGGAAATGGTACTATAGCGGAGGTGTGTTACGCCGCCGCGACAGCAATGAATATTGATGCAGCACAAAGATGATGGCCGGGAAAAAATAATTTCAAAGCTTGGCTAAGTTTTGAAACCTGGAGTATCTCAACAGAGTGGAGTGCACGGGCAGAGATGCTGATGACGCCTCTTTTCATTGTTTGGAAGCCAAGGTCAGGCCGTTGGCAGGGTAACGCGGACCGGTGTGCTGCACGTGACCTGGTCGTTCTGCTCCCGGACTGGCGACGTGTTGCAGGGCTTGCGGGACGTAGCGCAAGACGCCTGATTGTCCATTTTCAGGCGTGCTTGCGTTGACTTTGTCCTCCACACACACCTACGTCGTATTGCCATCATTTGAATAGTCGAATACAATTTGCCTGCCTCGCACAGCCTTCTCCGATCTGTCATCATCAGAACGCATCAGTTTGCGGCGATCTGTTTACACTCTCAGTTATAGCGCCGCCCAATTTCTGCCGACACATCGCGGCTCGCCAGCTAGCGCTCCTCGACCGGCTTTTAGCTTTGCTGAACAGAAGTATCGCGACAAATACCAGCTTCCGACCCGGGCTTCTCGGTTTCTGCCCCCCAGCGATATCGAAGTTACCCCGATTCCATCCATTTAGAAACTGCCACGAACGAGTAGCATCCCGTTCCTACAGTCTCGTTCTCCCTTTTTCGAGCCTCCCTGCCTGCCCGATCCCCCCAGGCAGGCGCTCCAACGTATAATCCGCGACACTCACCAAGATACCTCCATGGTCCCTCCACCAAGAGCGGGGTCATTTTCGCCAAATCCTGCCCAGGCTCTCCAGACCGGCTCCAATCACTCCCCTCATCCATCGCACGCTGGTGTTCTCAGTGCTGGCGCCAGCCCCAGCACCAGCAGTCCGACGGGGGCCAGCTCCCTCACTAAGATTGTTGTCGCACAAGTTTATCTCCTCCTCAGCACAATCAAGGAGGATAAGGACCGAGCCAAGTGGGAATTGCAAGTTGAACAGCTCAGAAAAGTAAGCGTCGAGTCGTTTTCCCATGAACATGCGGACTCGAGTGCAAATGTCTAACACGCCATAACCACAGCTTATCGATGACTACGGCATGGAAGTCTTCACCAAATACTTCACTCGACTAGTTGTCGGCAATGCGCCACAAATATTTCCTGGCCTTAACCGGCCAGTTGCCAACCCTGGCAACTACCACCTTCTTGTCAGCGAGATGCACAAAATTGCCTACGAACCTGAACAAGCGACCAGAATTGCAGAGTCTATCGAGAGCGGAACTGAAGATATTTTTCGTGATTTTGACTTGTCGACGTTCATGGAGCAATTCAAGCTTGATGCGCTCATGAAGACTCTGCTTGCGCTGGCCTTCAAAATGGGGTCAAGGGTTGATCTCAAGACAAAGGCTGACGCGATTCTATCGGCAAACTTCAGTACCTTTGTGCACATGCTCGAGTTACCCGGGGTGCACGCAGATATTCACCCGAGCTTCATGGCCATGATCATCGACCGTTTCCTCCAATACCACCCTCCAAGCTTTGTTGCATCCTCTCGAAACAATCTTCGCAATGCCATTATAACGCGATACGCGGCGTTGGACACAGCTACTCCTGCATCGTGTCTGGCTGCATTAGATCTTGCGCGCGTTCTGGCTGACAAACCTACAAATGCATTGGCGAGGTATATACAAAAGACTGGTGCTGATGTTACTCGTGATGAAGAGTCCTGTGTTTCGCATCTGCAAGCACGGCACGGGCATTTCCAGCTGACACCCGAGCAAGTTTCTTCGGCGCTCACGTTTGTGACTATCACACAACAACCTGAGCATGATCCGTCGGTTCTGGTTGCTGCTGTTCGCCGAATTGTGCCCAGAACGTTTGATTGGAACGATGTCGTGCGGTCATTCGACCAGCCGACTGCTAGAATAACCTCTGATCAACTTCTTCGCTTGTATAAAGCTCTCCTACCAGTAGCCGAGGATCCCAAGGCAAACTTCGACATCCAGCGGCTGTGGGGTGGCACATGGTCTGAACCAGAGGCTCAGTTATCTTTCGTGAGTGCCTATGCTGCCTTGACGCCAGAGCAGCTCGATGCGACGACGATCCCGAACCTCCAGCGAAGCATCGACCTCGACGACTATGCGAAATCCCCCCAGAACGTACGCGACAGGGCAGCAATTGCTCAAAAGCACCCGCTGGTATCCGTCGCGGCTCTATCAGGCATCTTCCACGCTGCGCTCAATTCGGTCCACTCATCCCAAACGATCGAGGCCAAGCGACTATTTCAGTTTGTTGTGGTTCCGAATCTCGATATATTCCTTGTTACCGCATTCGAGATCCCGAGGGAGTCTTGGGCTGGTATGGCGGCCGAGACCGTCGGTACATTGTTCGAACAATTCTTATATAAGAATTCCGAGAATTGGGAGTTCGCATTGGACAGTCTTTGGCGCAAAGATAAGGAGTGGGTGTGTACTAGACTCGCAGATTCACATGCTTCAAAGCCTGGCGAATTGCCACTTATTTTTGAGCATGCAGTCAAGCTCAAGTGGTTGGACACCCTGGTATATTTAGGCAACGGGTTCGCTCTTGATCTGGCGGCTCTTGCTCACGCAGAAGGATATGTTGACCTCTCCAAATGGGCCAAGTACCATGCAGACCAAGGAGTCGACATTTCCAGAACACTGATACAATTTCTTTTGATCAAGACCAATTTGGAAATTGCGTCGCAACGACCTGACCCTGAGCACAATAGTATCAGGGCAGCCACTACCAACCTTCAGGTCCGCACCGTATCTGCCTTGCTACAGATTCTCGAGGACTTGATGCCAAAAGCTCCGGTACCCGATCTTATTGTTGTCCAGCGTCAGTGCATCACAGCTTATCCGCGGCTGATCAACTATGGCGAAGGCTATGACGATATTATCGATGCCAACTCGTCCCTCGGCAACGGCCTCCCGTCAGCAGCCAACAACAAGATGGAAGAGCACTACAAGAGAATGTACGGCGACGAGATTCCCGTTCGCACGATCGTTGATATTCTTGAGCGATACAAGCATTCCAGGGACATGCTCGATCAGGATGTCTTCGCCTGCATGATTCACGGGCTGTTCGACGAGTATAATCACTATGTCGACTACCCGCTCGAAGCTCTGGCGACCACAGCGGTCCTGTTTGGCGGCATCATTTCTCACAAGTTGATTTCCGACCTTCCATTGAAAATCGGTCTCGGGATGGTTTTGGAGGCTGTCCGTGATCACCGACCGGATGAGTCGATGTACAAATTTGGCTTACAAGCTCTGATGCAATTACTCTCTCGATTCCGAGAATGGCCGGGATTCTGCAAACAGCTACTCCAGGTTCCAGGTCTACAAGGCACGGATGCTTACAAGAAGGCGGAAGAAATCGTTCGTGAGCATGAGGAGGATTTAGCTCGAAGTCGGGGCAGCGGCGGCACTGCCCAATCGCTGGGCTTCGCTGGCGATGCTCTTGCAAACGGCACTATTGACGATCTTGCCTTCCCCGATGGGCCTACGGCGCCGTTTTCGGCTATTGGTATTGACCCTGTTCCCTCAGGGGCCGGATACGAAGATCCCGACGAGGACGAGCAGGGCAAAATCCAGTTTGTCCTGAACAATATCACAGAGCAGACTCTCGAATCCATGTGCATGGAGCTTCGTGATATGCTGGATCACAAGCATCAACAATGGTTTGCAAGCCATCTGGTTGCCGAGAGAGCAAAGATGCAACCCAACTACCACCATGTATACCTAGACCTGGTCAAATTCTTCGAGGACTCGTCTCTGTGGAGTGAGGTGCTCAGGGAGACCTATATCAACGTCGCTCGCATGCTCAATTCTGAAGCCACGATGCAGAACTCGACTGAGCGAACACACTTGAAAAATCTTGGTGGTTGGCTCGGACTCTTGACACTTGCTCGTGATAAGCCTATCAAGCACAAAAACATTGCCTTCAAACAACTGCTGATTGAAGCCCACGACACCAAGAGACTCATCGTTGTGATCCCGTTCGTCTGCAAGGTACTTCTACAAGGCTCTACCTCGGCTGTGTTCCGTCCTCCCAATCCTTGGTTGATGGATATCATATATCTCCTAATTGAACTCTACCATCACGCCGAGCTCAAACTCAACCTCAAGTTCGAGATTGAGGTCCTCTGTAAGGGTCTCAGCCTCGACCATAAAAGCATTGAACCCTCCGGCGAAATCCTCAACAGGCCAGTTGCGGAGGAGCCTGCGGCCGTGCTCACCGTCGAGCAACTTGAGCCATTTGAAGGGATACCTTTGAACGGCCTTGGCTCTGGCATCGGTGCCGGGCTGTCTCCCCAAACAGTAGCGCCGACTATCCCCGACTTAAGTGCGCAGATCACCATACCGCCCACAAATGAAATGGTGGTCAGTACCACCAGGTTGCATGAAATCGCCCGAAACGCTGTCACCCGCGCCTTGCACGATATTATCCAGCCTGTTGTCGATAGGTCAGTTACAATCGCTGCGATTTCAACGCAACAAATGATCCGAAAAGACTTCGTTTCCGAGCCAGATGAGAACCGAATTCGGCTCTCTGCGATCAACATGGTCAAAGCAACCGCTGGAAGCCTCGCTCAAGTTACTTCCAAGGAGCCTCTTCGAGCTAACATGACTAATTACATGCGCAATCTCTCAAACGATCTTCCATCTGGTCTTCCGGAAGGCACGATCATCATGTGTGTTAACTCCAACCTCGATCTTGCCTGCAACATCATTGAGCAGCAAGCTGAAGAGCGGGCTGTGCCAGAGATTGAGGATCTTCTCGAGTCTGATTTTGAGGCCAGACGCCGATACAAGATTCAGCATCCAAACGAGTCCTCGTACCCAGCCAACATCAACCGCTGGGCGATGACCATACCTTACCCATTCAAACTGTCTCCCAATATGCCTGGACTGAACCCTGAGCAAATGGCCATCTATGAGGACTTCGCCCGGCAGCCCCGGAACACGGCGACTACAACTACATCAGGCGCAAATCATGAGCCCTCCGCCTCTGATGCGACGAGATCGCTTGCCAATGAAGTGCTACAAGAGCCCTTTGGTAATATGCCTAATATTCCCACTCCTGCAGAGACACCGTCACTTCAGCAACTCGGCTCGCAGATGCAACCCTATGCTTCTCTCCAAAGCACCGCGGGAAGCATGTCGAACGGACGGGCTAACAACTTTCCCGTGGAAGCTCATGGTCTGCCAGAGCGCTTAAATAAGTTGTTGCAAGAACTTCTTCGTGCCGCCGGCGAGGCCCGTGAGGAGCACTTTGCCGACTTACCCCGCCCCCACCAAGTTCTTGACGTTGTCGATGCGCTGGTTCAGTTGCTCATTAAGACGTCTCAGAGCTCAGACGAATTTCCCATCTATGCTGCGGAGCAGATTACTGGTGTAATTTTCCAGCAGGTCGAGGACAACCTTACTCTGGAGAGTCTTGTTCACGTTATGGAGACTTTACGCAAGATCTCGGGTGCCGATCTGAACAGCCGTGTGCGCGCTCTATTTAGTCAGCAGCCAGGAAGCAGCTTCCTTAGCTTGCCCTTACTTGCTGCTCTGACGCGCACTGATCTTCTCGATTGGAGAAGCATCGACCTTGCCATGTCCAAGGCTCTCGATGAGAGGAAAGAGGGGTCTCTGGGGTTCCTGGAGCAGATGTTTGATCTCGTTCTCCTCAACAGTCGCCCCATCGCTCTCTATGCTGATTTCGTCCGTACTTTGGAAGCAGCCTGGAACTGGATTAACGCGGACAGCGAATCTGTCGTCGGCGAGAGACTCAAGGCGAAGCTTGTCGGTGCTGGTATGTACCAGCCATCACAAAGCCACGGTAACGAGTCTTCGTCTAGACACGAACAAATGGAATATGTCTTTGACGAATGGGTGCATTTGTGTAACAACCAGAATGCATCGGGCGCAGCAGTCGATGTCTTCATCAAGCGGCTACGCGCCACCCAGGTTATTCGCAACAAGTCTGATTTCTTAATCTTCCTCCGCAGCAGCATTGACTTGTCCGTTGAACGCTTTGAGCATTTGATCCATGCCGGCAGTGATGGTTACATCATGATTGATGCTCTCGCGAAGCTCATTGGCGTGTTTGTCGGCATGCATCAGGACAGCAGTGCAAGCCGTGCGTCATTTGTCGACTCGGTGCTTGGCATCACCACTATGGTGTTGTATCATCACCAAACGAATCGCGGGGAACACCTCAATCAGAGACTCTTCTTCCGCCTGTTCTCTATGCTCTTTCACGAACTACAAACCATCTGCGATCAGCTACCCGAGATGGAGTCGAGAGATATTATTCTGACTGTTGCCCGCAGAATGGAGCCGCTCGGTCCTTTCCAGTTGCCCGGCTTTGCTTTCGGCTGGCTCTCGCTTCTGCAGCACCGATCTTTCCTACCAAATTTACTGTCGATTCCTGAATACGGAGGATGGCAGCAGTTTACCAGACTCCTGCGCCAGCATTTGGATTGTCTGAGCGAGCAGCTTAAGGCCTTGGGTGTGTCATCCGTTGCCAAGGAGATGTACCGAGCTACGCTCAAACTTCTTGTCATTCTTCAGCATGACTTTGCCGAGTTTGTTGCGGCGCATCATGTGGATATTTCCAAGAGCATCCCACCCCACTGCACCCAGTTGCTTAACGCTGTTCTCGCAGCTCAGCCGCAGCATGGTTACACCAAGGTGATCACCAAAAGCAAGGGTGTTAGTGAGCGCGAAGATTCGAAGGTCTACCCGGGGCTTGTTGATGATGCCAAGGCCATTTTGCAACAAGCAGGGCTCATTGAGGGCCTCGAGGAAGTTGTCCAAGGCGCCACCTCGGAGGGTATCATGGCGCAGATTGTGCACAGCATGAGCACTGGATCGGATCTTGAAACCACCTTTGGTCATGTTCCAGTCTCCGCCAACATCGATGTCATCAACGCTGTTGTCATTTATCTTGGTAGTCATGGAGCAGAACGATTATTTTCCACCGAGCCGCCGAGGCTCAGCGGCAAGGAGCCGGAAGCTACGGTCTTGTCCGTGCTTGTTCACGAGGTATCTCCAGAGGCTAGATACTATCTGGTGTCGAGCATGATCAATCAGCTTCGATACGCCAACACGCACACTGAGTTCTTCAGCCAACTATTGCTCCACATATTCGGCAATGACCTGCATGATCCGGAAGACACAGACATCCGCCAAGAGATTACAAGAGTCTTGCTCGAAAGACTGATCGGATTCTGGCCACAGCCATGGGGACTGATGTACACGGTCGTTGAGCTAGTAAAGAACGAGAAATACATGTTCTTCGACCTGCCATTCATCAAGTCTACTCCAGAGGTATGTTATACTGTGTACACTATGCTTACGACTACAAAAGCTAACACGCTCAGGTGGCGGAACGATTTGGCAATATTCTTCAGCGGGTTTAGGAGCTTGCCGAAGGATTATAGACGGCTCGGTTATTAAGGCCGACGCGATGTTTACGAAGAGTACGCAAGGTGTTGTGCTTGTGTGATATGAAATATTCAACGGGGGATGAGCGTGGGGTTTAAAGGTCGCTCGCATGAGGTATTTGGAAATAATGGAAATGACGTTAGCGAGAGAACCAGATTTCTGCATTGGGGGATGTGGACGTTTGGATCCAGCGACGAAGTTTCTTGTACTAGGTATAATGCATCAATGTATATTAATAGGGCAGTGTTACGTTGGTTGAGGTAATACCGGCGCAAAAGTTGGTTTTCTGCTTATCAACATGATTTGTTGTGTTGCACAATGTGCTTGCACTTGGGTGAACAATCCTTTTATGTTAGATGATCAACGTCCCCTTCATGACCTTGACAGCCTTGCCTGAGAGATGCACCTCGTCGATGGCATTGCCCTTCATGGTCACATGCACGACAATGTTGCTCTCCCGGCCCATTTCCACGCCCTGCGTCAGCTCATACCGGCGCCTGCTCGTCTTTTGCCCGCCGCTCGCGGCGCCGAGGTAGCAGCACAGCGCCGCCGACGCCGAGCCCGTCGCGGGGTCCTCGCACAGGGCGTCAATCATGCGGGTGCGCAGCGTCACGACCTCGGTGCCGTCGTCGTCGGCGCCGCCACCGGTCCGCACATAATAGAAGCGGCAGCAGAGGCCCGCCCGCCACCCGTCATCCAGCAGCTCCGCCACGGGGCCCGTGAAGCGCGACTCGGTGGCCTGCGCGAGGACGGCGAGCGACGGCAGCTCAATGAGGATGAAGCTCATGCCGCGGACGATGCTGTACACGGGGGCGTCGAGCTCGGCGGCCCGCACGGCGGGCACGTCGGAGAGGCCCTCGAGGTGCGCCGGCGAGGAGAGGTCGCGGAGGCGCTTGGCGTGCAGGTGCACGTTGTGCGGGATGGTGGCGCGGGCGCCGCCACCGCCGCCGGTGCTGGCGACGGGGATGGGGCCGGCCTTGGTGACGAGGGTGTCGACGCCGGCGCCGAGGAGCGACACGGCGGTGCCAATGGTGGGGTGCCCGGCAAAGGGAATCTCGGCGTTGGTGACAAAGATGTCGACGTGGCGGACGCTGCTGGGGCTGGCGGGCTCGTGGATGAAGATGGTCTCGGACAGGTTGAACTCGCGCGCGACGGCCTGCTTCTGGGCCTGCGTGGGCGGCGCGGGGATGGTGACGGGGATGGTGACGACGGCGAGGGGGTTGCCGCGGTACGGCGTGTCGGTGAAGACGTCGTACGTCTCAAAAGGAAGCTCCATGCTCTTTTGGCGACGATGATTGTTCAGCGGTGACTCGTGAGGGGGAGCTGGAGCGGCGGAGGGGAGGAGGGGTTTCTGTGTAAGTGAGATGGTTTAATTTCTCCGGGCACAATTGTGAATTATATGTTCAATATTTCTGTATCTAGCAAAAGACAGTGAAGATATATACTGTCTATATGACTAACATGTACGCCTTACATATGAATTCATGCCATCTCCGCTCTCACGCCCTTGCGGACGAGTCAGAGTGGGCTGAGGGTTGAGTAAGCGGATGAGCGGGACAACGGGGATGGCTATTTCATAACAACGTTGCAAGTAAGAAACCATGTCGAGTTGTTAGCCGAGTATCCGCCGGTGAGTCACTCGTCCATTTCGGTGGCCGATATACGGGCAGAGGCGTTTCCAAAGCAGCTTTTGGCTGGGGAAACAGCTTCCCGCCGTGGGTGTATTGATGCAGGGTTGAAGATACTGGCTTTTTCAGCTTTGCCAACGCTTTGCTGACGTGCAATGTTGAAAATGGACGATGACGCTGCCACACAATCGGAACCGGATGCAGCCTACGGAGACTGTGCCGATGACATGCGTAGACAGGGCATGTGTAAATGGAATAGGTTTCCGTAATAAATGTTGGATAGTTGAGGCGGCATTCATACAGAACGCAGTCAAAAGGTCGCTCATCTCTCGCATCTCGGGAAAACACTACGCCAAAGTCAGTAGAGAGGAATTTGAAAGGGACAGTACGTGAGACCGAGTGATGAGGCTCAATCCCAGGCCTGGCGAAGGTGCATGCTGCAAGGCGCACGCTTGGGGACTCCCCGTCTTCAATGCAAGGCTAGTAGTTACAACAGATGATCTCCAGCAAGAATTGCCAATCCCGGCGATGAGCAACGTCCACGCAACCTCGAAAGCAACAGGCTATAAGAAGGCTCAGTGAGGGGTAGCATTTCGCTCTCCCAGAGTTTGTTCAAGCAGTAGTCTGGCTGTCATCACTGTTGGGTGGTGTGATGGTTTAGCGTTGGCGCGATGGACGCAGCGTCGCAGCCGTGGTCTGGTCCATGGCCAGGGTTCGCGCAGTTCAATTGGTGTTACTCCCCTCATCAACATCACAACCGTGGCAACCTTATTCCGACCAAGGGTGACGGCGGCCGACTACGGACTAGGCTAAAGCTTATCGGGCACCATGGTGGTACGGGCATCACCTCCCGACGAGCCGGAACTACGGCAGCAGTGCACAGACAGCCACCAGACAAACTGACAGAGAGACAGGCAAGTTGTTTTGCAGGAGACGTGCCTTACACCAGGCTGGTAATAGTAGCAATCAACAGACCAGATAATAAACCGGGGCATCGCATGCAGAAGAAAAATAAACCAAGGTCAACCGAGGGATGCAAGCCACAGGCCCCAGTTGCAAGTCTCGTACCTGCGTTGTGCTCCATATCAATATTGTGGTAAGCGGAGCCTATTGGGGGGGCACAAGGGGCTGTTATTACTGGAACTACGGCAACAAGCGGGCAGTTGGCAGTTCCACAAGGACGAGAATGAAAGGTTGAAGGGTCCCTTTTTATTCATTGGAATAGTAGCCGGGAAATTACTCGAGTGACAGTTGTGACTTGTCGCGAAGAATCGGGGGGGAATCGGCTATCTATGAGACGCCAAGGAAGTGCGCGTAATTGTTAGACAGGCTATGCACGTCAATATGCGTGGTGGGTGAGCCCTTTTAAAGGGAAAATGAAGAGAGAAAACGAAGAGAGGGAGAAAGAGAGAAAATAAAGAAAATAAAGAAAAGGAAAAAACAGGAGAGAAAGAGAGCTGAAAATATACAGACACTTGCCCAAGCTTTGGTGTCAGTTCCCTCTTCTCTCGGCTTACACGGCGAGCAAAGTGGCGCCAGCAAGAGGGGCCAGAAAAGGACGCGGCGCCGGTGGCTAACGATGCAAGATGGTCAGATGGGGGGGCGGACAAGGAGCCATTGCCGTTACCAAGTCGCCGGGGAGTCTCCGTCGGGCGGAACTGGGCACACAGCAAGCTAGTCCGTCTTCAACTTGCAAGCGTCAGTTCGTTGCTATTGCCAGTAGTTGGTTGGCTGGCAAGCTGGTTTCCCCCACCACGACCAAGACGCACTTGAATCGTTGACGGTGATGTGGCGGTGATGCGGGAATAGCGAGGGAGCGCGATGAAGATGCGGCGTCCATCGTCGGTGTATTAGCAGAACACAGACAATGGCGACGATTTTCCTCACGAAGAGCTTGAAAGGGGAGACATGAAGAGCCGGCTCCCAAGGCGACGCGCAGCGGCAATGGCCGATTTAGCTCATCGGCGAGACTTGATGACATGTTGTTGGTACGCTTGGCCCAAGATTCGTCGCCATCCAGCAACTGCAGCGAGGCCGATGTTATTAGTCTCTTCAGCGCGGTTCGTTATTAGTAGAGCCTGATAAAATAACAAAGGCCCCAGTTAGCCAACTTAGCTTCAGACAAATGTGGGTGGGCATCTAAATTTTCCTGGCCATTCTTGTTGGAGGCGAGAGGGGCGATTGATGTCACGACTCACGACTCGTACGGCGTAGCAATTGCGGGTGTCTTGCAGGATTTTAAGAGATGGCCCGCCTTTGATGTTCGGTGGCTCCAGTTTCACGCAGGTCATTGTGCAGAGCAGCGCATCATGCGAGTTTGGCGGGCGTTGTGGTGGTGGTGATGCGTGCTCACCGACGGTTTGCATCAGGCGTTGTGCAAAGCTGGATTGGGTAGGCTGGCGATAGTCCGTGGAGGGAGTACGCTCGAGCACTATTGGCGCTTGCAATGGGCGTCAGCAAGAGTCTATACTGCCATTGTTTGTATAGGACAAAACTGAACGTGATACAAAAGGGCGGGTGACGGCATAACAGCGAGGACAAACAGTCGGTCGCCGAGCGATGACACGCCTGGACAGATTAGGCGAACCGCGATTGGACACGGGTGGCCGCAGGAACCCCAGGCGCAGAGGGCGGGGCATGTTGGCTGAATCAAGCTGCGACCAGGAGAAAATTATTCATAAATAGGTCATCGGTAATTTGTACAGTACCAGCAGAGAGGTACCGAGTTGACTAGCAGGCCCTGGGGGCCCTGGGGGTCCAGGAAAAATAAATAAAGTCCGTAGCGACGCAAATCTACCTGTTAGAGTGGCCGCGATGATGATGCCGTCGCTATTCTGCAGCAGGATGGATGCACACAGTAACAGGTGAGCATGAAGCATGAGACGATTTTTACACGGCTGGCAACTTATGCAACCACGTAGGTAGATTTGTGCAGTTTATTTACCGCCTTCTTGCGCTTGTGTAAACAAAGCCAGCCGGCTGCCATAAATAAATACACACAGATAACTAATAATGCAGATAATGGGCATAGTTTAATAAAAGAAAAGTACCGCGCGCTGTGCAGGAGTGCGGCTGCAGTACCTGCCTGGACCCCTACAACCTGCTCCTCCGAGGCTGAGTGGGGAACCTGGGAATTGTGGGCGGTGAGCTTTTTTTTTTTGATTCATCACTCCAAACGTAAGGGGATGCCCGCGCAGGCACTGACACAGCAGACGGGGAATTTTGAGGAGAAGAAAAATGGAAAACCATAACAAGTCTACCTTGTACTATGTACTGTATAGTATGGATTTCTCTCCCTCTTGCTTACCCCATGTACCGCGTAAACATCCGGACTTCGCCGCCAACAGCTGTCACTTGCACGCTGGAATGCTTGCTCCCTCGCTCCCTTGGCTTGGAGAACAAAAAAAGAGACTGAGGCAGAAAAATCAAAGAGGCAAGTAAAGGGTCGGGGGCATGTGGCCCGTGCTGCACGACTGACGTCCTAGCGGCCCACTTCGGAATGCAGGCATCCCGGTGGCCGACCAATAGGAAGCATGCAGAAAGAAAAAAAGTTCAAAGCTCTCGTGCTTGCTGGTCCTCTCAGTCTTTTGGCCCCCCCAAAAAAAAGCCGCCAAAGAATCCTTCCCCCCCCCGGCCTGCTAGTCCGCCGCTCATCGCCTGAGCTCTTTCCTCCCCAAGCCACAGCCCGCGCCCGCCACCAAGCCTGAGGAGCCAAAAGGAAAAAAAAAAGTCGCTGGGACTCTAACCAGCCCGCCAAAAAGTTGAATCCCGCCCCCCCCCTTCCCTTGACTCTCTCTATCCAGACCACCCCCCCCGACACTCTCCGAAACATTTCACAACATCACCGCTTCCCTTGTCTAAAGGCTTGCCTGTTATTCATCTTCTGTTATTTTCACATCTTCTTTTGCAGTATTGTGCTGCTCTCGTCCAGAATAGCAACCCCCTACTTTTAAAACACCAGCCTTGTTTCCGTCCACCCTAGCGATATCCACTCCCGAGCCGCCTCTGTCTACCCTTCCGCATTCGTCGCCTTCTCCTTCTCAGCGACCGCGAGAGCCCTTTTCCTAAGCGACACCGTTGATATCGATACAAGAACTTCCTGTCGCCAATCACTTGAATACCCTATCTCGCCGCCGCCGCCTCCCACAACACTGCTTGCGCTTCCGCAAACAGCCTCCTCTCGTCACACAAACGCCGCCGTCATGCCTTACAACACGCGGCGCAAGTCGCTCTCGCTACCCAGCCTGGGTATTCACATTCCCATGACACACGCCGCACGCGCCGCCGCTTCGGCTTCCAAGTCTGCTTCCCGTCTCTCGACCTCTCCTACAGCGCCTGCCGCCGAGTCTACCGAGTCCCATCCCACCAAGCGTCTCAAGCGCTCCCACACCGGCTCTGCGCCCGCCAACACCACTGAGCAAACACCCCCTCCCTCCCCCACCGTTGCCGACAGCATCGAAATGACCGACGCCGACTCTGTCTCCAAAATTGACCTGTCCACCGTCAACGACGACATTGTCGAGGGTGTCATTGTCCAGCTACAAACCACTGGCAACCGACCCCATCTCGTCAAAGACCTTGCCCTCATCCTTGGCCAGACTCTCACTTCGGTCCAACAGTAAGTCTTGTTGGCTCTACTTTCATATCCTTCTTGACCGCTAACTCAACACGACTAGATCCGCCAACCCTTGCGCCATCATCTCCTCGCGCCTCGCTTCATACCTCAAGCGCCCCGTTTGGTCCGCTTCTGCTCGTTGCCCTTTGGCCAAGGAGCTTGAGACTGTCCACCCCCGTCGCACTTACTTCTTCCTCACAACCCAGCCTCGCCAGGAGCTTCCTGACCCCAGCATTGTGCAGCCCATTCTCCCCGCCGCCATTGTCACCCCCTCCGTCTCCCTTACCGACGACTCTGGCTCTGACGCCGAGGGTCGCCGCCGTGAGCTCAGCCCTTCCCCTGAGGTCGATCTCTCTCCTGCCGAATTCGACGACACCTTTGACGACATGTTCCTCCACGGTTCTGCTGTCGGTTCCTTTACCTCGCGCCGTGTTAGAATCGCTCGCGACTTCCGCCATGACTCGCCTCCTCTGGAAAAGGACGAGCGCGAGTTTACGCAAACCGCCGATGTTGTTCTCAAGCGCAAGCTATCCGAGGCCACCCCCGTCGTCGTTGATCCTGCCGACCGCGCCGTCCTAGCCGAGTATGGTTTCCGCGACGACATGTGGTTCGGCGACATCCGCGCCCCTCCATCTACTGCTTTCCTTGCCAGTCCCTCTATAAAACCTATCGCTGGTCCTTGGATTCGCAAAGAAGAAGCCGATAACTGGCTACGGCTTTTTGGAGGCGAACAGGGCGCCGAGAGTATTGAGATTGAGGAGCTCGATAACCTCTTGAGCACATACTAAATTGTGTGCCTGCTCAGCTTGACCTACTATAAAATGTACGATGGGACGTGGTATGAGCTGCGCTTCGACCATCGTCCCGGGGCAAGTCCCCCTTTACTTCGCGCTGTACAAATTTGTTCGATCCTCGCATCTCCTTTTCTTGCGAAGATGGTGTTTGGGGGATGTCAACGATATACATGTATATATAATGTTGCCATTGGGTAACAACCCTGCAATTGGCTCAGACTGGATTACGACAAAAGGGAATTGGTCACGGGAAAATGATTTTTCGATATCTTTTGCTTTCTTGCAAGGCGGCGTTTACGGCTTTAGTGCATTTCAGAATCAGCGGTTTACATAAAAGAATATACCACTCACTGCTCTTGGCACCTTGAAAATTGCTTCATTTGTGACAACTTAATACCTGCATTTGTGACAACTTGATACCTAAACCGCCTTTAGTAATGCTTAATCTATAATACAAGACTCCACTCGGCCAAACCTGTGCCTTGCACAACGCTTTCCATGCAAACTACCTAGTGTACACGTACAACCCTTTGCATGAAGACTAGTATACACGGCGACTCCCAGCATCTAATCTCCCAATCTACTTGGTCCCCGTCGCCGATGGCGTCTCCTCGACCTTGAGTTCTACCCACACCAGCGTGCCCATCTGCAACACCTTGGGCCTCTCGACCCTGACCACGGTCAGTCCGGGGGTGCTGCGCGCCGCCTCCTCGACCAGGGCCTCAATGTCCCTGTTCCACCAGCAGCCGTACTTGTCAAAGTGCTTCCCCGCGTTCCTGTCCAGCAGCCCGTTGACGAGGCCAAAGTACCCGGTGCCGTGCTCCAGCAGCACGATGCGGCCCGTGCCCGGCTTCACCGCCGACGCGAGGTTGCGCAGCACCGCCACGGGGTCCGCCACGGAGCACAGGCCAAACGTCTGAATGATGGAGTCGTACTTGCTGCTGTTGCCGCTGGCGGGCGGCGGCGGCAGCGGATGGTGCGCGTCCGACTGCACCAGCCGCAGGCGGCCCCCGAGAAACGAGAGCTGCCCGCCGCCGCGGTCCGCCATGGACGAGGCGCGCACCACGGGCGCGGCGTCCTTGAGCGGCGGCACCGTCCGGGTGAGCTTGCGCCGCGCCACGTCCAGCATGTCGACCGAAATGTCCAGCCCCGTAAACGACGTGATGCCGCTCGTCGTCGCGCGCCGCACCACCACCACCGGCTTGTTCGCCCGCGTCTCGTCGTGCGCGGCCGCCGTCGTCACCAGCGCCGCCGTAATGGGCGACCAGTCGTAGTGCGCGAGGTTGCGCCCGGAGCCCATGGCCAGCTCGAGCACGTCGCCGCGCGCGTGCGCCGCCAGCCGCCGCCGGAGGCTGGTGATGCCCATCCACCACTCGGGCCAGTCGAGCTCCTTGTCAAACTGCTCCGCGTTGTCGCCGGTGAGCGCAGGTGGCCGGCCTGTCGGCGTCGTCGTCGTCGCGCGGTCCGTCGTCGCGCAGCACGGGTCGGACTGGAGCGTCGCCGCGGCGGTGCCGAAAATGTAAAACCCCAGCGCCCCGGCGACGAGGGCCGCGCCGCTGAGGGGCAGCCACGATGCGCGCCATACGCTCAGCAGGGTGTCGGCTTGTTGGGGGCCCGGTTTTGATTTCGGCGGCGGCGGTGGTCGGGGACGGACTTGGGAAGCTCTGCTCGGGGGGGTCAGTTCTGTAGGTTCTGGGTGGTGGGCCGCGGGGGGGGGGTTGAGTTCGCACGGTTTATATGATGGCGCAGGCTCGGCGGCCTTGGGCTGCTTGGGCTTGGATCCGAGGCGCGGCTTGCCAGGCCCGGACTTGATGTGCGCGTGTCGGCGGGCGCACTGCGCGCGGGTGGTGGCTGCCGCTGCGGCGCGGCGCGTCGTCACGCAGGGAATCATCGGGTGCGCATAGCGAGGTTATTGAGGTGCGTGAGTCAATTGGCGGGCGAGCCAGCCCAGGGATGTTGGTGTTGGCGTTGGGGAGATGTTTGGGTGGTGTAAGTCAAGGTCCAAAAGCTCAAGGTGTACTTTTTTTTTTGCGGCTTCACGGAGTCGCTACGGCCCGAGAGCTGGTCTCGGCGCCGATCCCGCTCTTGAGCCTTGTCCAGAAAGGTGGGTCGCAGCTAGTGGACAAATCGTGAATGGAACCTACCCTGTATTTGCATCATCTTTTTCGTTGTTGCGGGCTATGCTGTCGTATTTGCTCAATGCGCCGTATTTACAGAGGCTTGCTGCTAGTGGACCATCTTTGACTTGTTTTAGGGTGACGGGCAGCTACAATGGCGGGTCAGGGGGATCTGCAGGAACTGCTGCGAATGCTCACTGCGCGTAAAGTGCCAATGTTGGCGGCTATGGGTCACGTCAAATCGCTTCAAACGAAGAACCTCAAGAGGTCAGTCCGCACTTCACAGCACCCATGTGCGACCCCAAGTTGACATATTTACAGCATCGAGCAAATAGCAGACGCGCCACTGGCGGCAGTAGAGGCGGCGCTCAAGGACGCGAAACTGGCCAAGGGCCTCCATACAGCATGCAAATCTCACAGCAAAAAGCCTGCGGTGGCAACCAAGCGCGGCGCGGAGGACGCGACGTCACCAACAGCAAAGAAGCCCAGGCTGGAGCCTACGAAACGCGATCTAGACTACGGCTCCATGGCGGCGGATGACCTGGAGGCGTCACTCGAGCTGCCGCTGGTGGAGGACGAGGCTCTAATACGCGCCACTACAATCGTAACGAACAGGGCGCCCCTTGTACTCGCCTTTGCCGTCGAACTTCTCCGGGTGACCATGCCGGAGCAGCCGCCGAGCAGCAGGCTCAGCCTCGCGCAAGCGCTCGTGAGCGCCAACTCACGGAGCAAGGCCGTCAGTATCGGCATCGAGAAGCCTGGCGGGGAGATATCCGTCACCGAGGGCCAGCCCAAGATCCGTGTCATGGGCCGCGAGATCCCTGTCCTCAAACGTGGCGATTACACATGGTCAGGCGCCCCGACAAACAAGCAAAGCGATAATACAGAGGCAGGCGGCGCGCAGGCTTCGCGCGCCGCGCCCAACAAGACGTGGACGGCGAGCGCGACGCTGACGTCGCGCGCCTCTACCTTTGTGGCCCACGTGGCGACCGTGTCCAACGCGAGCGCACGACCCGGCCTCATCCGGCAGCTCATGGCGGAGCGCCCAGACCTGGAGACGGCGTCGCACAATGCGTGGGCGATCCGCACCAGCTTCGGCACGTCGCCGCTAGTGCAGCAGGCCTCGTTTGACGACGGCGAGTCGGGCTGCGGCAAGTTCATGCTGGAGCTGCTCAAGGAGACGAGCACGACCAATACGCTGGTGGTGCTGACGCGCTGGTTCGGGGGCGTGATGCTGGGCCCGGACCGGTGGCGGCTGATGCGGGAGTGCGTCCACGACGCGCTCGCGTCGCAGCGGCGGGGCGGGGCGGCGGCGGCGACGTTTGTGCCCGGCGAGGCGGCCGTCTGGGGCCTCGACACGCAGGACACGAAGCCGGCCGCGTCGACGGTCGGGATGGGCATCCACCGGCCCGAGGGCGCGCGCAACTACCTGCTGCGCTCGTTTGCGTCGCCAACGACGGCGGCGGGTGCAGCAGGGGCACCACCCAAGAAGACGGTCGCGGCCGTCAACGACGAGAAGCAGGAGAACCTGGGCAGACTGCTCGGCGCGCTGCGGATCGTTGTGGAGAGCTGGTCGGGCGTGCTGACCAAGGACGAGTTGGACAAGAGGGCGTGGACGTGGTACGTGGCGGTGCGGCCGGACGTACAGTCGGGGCCGTCGGGCTGGGGGGCACGGGGCGAGCTGAAGCTGAGCACTATATTGGACCTCAAGCGCAATGTGGGCTGAACTGATACATTATAACTAGCTACCATTAAGCCGTACAAAGTTACACAAGCAATTGGTTGGGTTGTGAAACAGGATGGGTTATAGATTGGAGGGCGGCATAGCTGGCATAGCTGTTGCTGGGCACCGTTCGTTATCGATAGGCCCCGCCTCAACGCGTCCGACACGCGGGGTGAGCAAAAGACGGTATGAAGATGAACGCGGCGGGCCAGGAGCAACGGTTCAAGGATAAACGCAGGGCAAAATACATCAAGATATTTCCGTCTTTATTATCCATTAAATTCAATATGGAACAGCACTGGGTCCACCTTTTCTTCTTCCGCCGTGTCTAGCCTCGGGTCCTGTTCAAGCTCGCAGTAAGCTGCCCAAGTAGTAAAGCTCCCAAGCTGTCGCTCCGCCACCCAATCAATCACAAGTAAACAGAAGGGCAACACACAAACAACGGCGGACAACTAGAACCCCCAAAAACGCCCCAAACCAAAAGTGATTCAACGCCAAAAAAAAGGGCACCAACGGAGCAACAACGAACGGTACGACGCGAGAAATACAGAAAAAAAAAAGGATCCTGAGCTTGCTGCGTGTGCCGATTGTACAAACGCGCTCCCCCCCCTTTGTGGTGTGACATTTGCAGGTCTGACCTGTTTTGTTGACGGGAATCTGGACCAATTTCAGGTTTAATTTTCTCTTTTCGCCCTTGAGGAAACTTGACCCTGCGTAAACCTCGCCCGCCTCTCCAACCCCACCTAGGCACTTTTCGCACGGCTGGCCTCTCGACGCCTTTTTTTCTCCCCTTCTTCTTTCTAGTCGTTGATATTGGGCTTCTGTCGTTGTCACTCGCTCTCTTTTACCTCTTAATTCCAAACGACGAATTCCTTTCCAACGGGCGGGCCTGTTTTCTCTCCAACAGAAACACCACGACAATTACCGACACCGACACCGACACGAGACACACACATACACAAACACATACACCCATACACGCGTCACATCAAAATCATGGATAATTACCAGAAGCTAGAAAAGGTCGGCGAGGGTGAGTGAATTCCAGCAGCAACAGGTCCCACGCCGAAAAAAAAAACGAAACAAAAAACAGAACAAAAAACCTAACGTCCCTTTGCCCGCCCCGAGCAGGTACCTACGGTGTCGTATACAAGGCGCGCGACCTGGCCAACGGCGGGCGCATCGTCGCGCTCAAAAAGATTCGTCTCGAGGCCGAGGACGAGGGCGTGCCGAGCACGGCCATCCGCGAGATCTCGCTGCTCAAGGAGATGAAGGACCCCAACATTGTGCGGCTGTTCAACATTGTGCACGCCGACGGGCACAAGCTGTACCTCGTCTTCGAGTTCCTCGACCTCGACCTCAAAAAGTACATGGAGTCGCTGCCCGTCAGCGACGGCGGCCGCGGCAAGGCCCTCCCCGAGGGCTCCTCGCCGCACCTCGCCCGCCTCGGCATGGGCGACGTCGTCATCAAGCGCTTCATGCGCCAGCTCTGCGACGGCATCCGCTACTGCCACTCCCACCGCGTCCTCCACCGCGACCTCAAGCCCCAGAACCTCCTCATCGACCGCGACGGCAACCTCAAGCTCGCCGACTTTGGCCTCGCCCGCGCCTTTGGCGTCCCCCTCCGCACCTACACCCACGAGGTCGTCACCCTCTGGTACCGCGCACCCGAGATCCTCCTCGGCGGCCGCCAGTACTCCACCGGCGTCGACATGTGGTCCGTCGGCTGCATCTTTGCCGAAATGTGCACCCGAAAGCCCCTCTTCCCCGGCGACTCGGAAATTGACGAGATTTTCAAGATTTTCCGGTATGACTTGAACGCGTTTCCCCCCCCCCCATACGCCTTGTTCAGGCTCCTCGTATCTAACAAACCCACCACCCATTTTGCAGTTCCCTCGGAACACCCTCGGAAGACGTCTGGCCCGGCGTCACCTCGTACCCCGACTTCAAGTCGTCCTTTCCCAAGTGGAAGCGGGACTTTTCCGCCGCCCTCTGCCACAATCTCGACGACGCGGGTCTCGACCTGCTCGAGGCCATGCTCGTATACGATCCCGCCGGCCGCATCTCCGCCAAGGCCGCCGTTAACCACCCGTACTTTGAGGAGTACCCCGATGAGCCCACGACTGCGGGCCGCGGCTCCGGCTACTACAACTAGAAGTATGTAGCGGCCGGGCCGTACCCCATACCGTTCCCGCGGTAGGCCAAAGGAGCCCTCCTAACGTGACGCAGCCAAGTATCAGATACGAGAAAGAATGCCGTCAAATTTTCCGAGGGGCATTTTTCCCTTTGCCATGGAGCCTCTCTCACCCAGCTCTAGTATATATGTGAGTGAGACACGGGCCGTGCTCTGGGGAGCAAGGTAGAGAGGGAGCCAAGGTGTCACTCCGCGTGGCCGGGATAGGAACAAACAACGTCTAGGTGCTGCTCTTATTGTTTGCATTGCAGGGAGGAGCAGAGAGCAACAGATACAGACACCACAGGTTTGGGATTGGAGCGCATTCCCCATGTCCTTTTTTCATGTACAGTGCAGACTGGGACATGATTGGCTTTTTCTTCCCTGATTTACTTTTTTTTTTTTTTCGTTATTGTCTACCTTTTTTCTTTTGTTTTCGGCACGCACGGTAATAGATATGCAGTAACTGAAAAAGGTTCAGTGAATGCAAAGTCGTCATGCTCATGTTCATTATTATCATTAAACGGGCCATGTACATGAACCAGCATATGTAGCCTTTTTCCTTTTTCTTTTTTGCCATTTAATTGGCTCTCCGCGGGATACCATTCTTCCGCAAAGCCCTCACCAGCTTACGCTCGTCTCATACGGCGGCAGCTTCATCTCGAGCATGCCGGCCGTCGTCAGCACAATGGTGGCGCTGCGCTCGCCCAGAAACTGCGTGTCAATCAGGCAGACGCGGTGATGGTTGCAGATCAAGGAGCCGGGGACGCAGACGCAGGCGTCGTGCGGGGCCTGCATGCCCGTCGTGGCATTCTCCTCGAGCACCATGACGGAGTGGACGATGAGGGCGAGCAGGCGGGCGGGCATCATGCCGTCGCGCTCGCGCCAGCCGTGCAGCAGCGTGATGAGGCGCCGGCGGATGCCGCCGTCGCGGCAGTTGGTGCCGACAAAGGTGAGCATCTCGCAGATGCTCATGGCAAAGGAAAAGGTAAAGACGCGCGGCGCGCCGGGCCGGCACCGCGCGGCAAAGTGCGTCTCGGCAAAGGCGGTGACGCGCTCCATGTCGGCCGTGCGCTCGTCCCAGATCATCTCGCCGCTCTCCTCGCTGTGGCCGAGGCACGTCTCGAGCACCATCCACAGCAGCTGCAGGCTCAGGATGTGGTGGTGCTCCTCGTCGTCGTCGTCGTCGTCGCTGGCGGGGCGGCGGCGGCGGCGGCGGCGGCGCGCGAGCAGGTCGTCAAACTTGAGTTGCCACGCGCGCAGCTCGCGCACGTAGGCATCGACGGTGCGCCAGACGGGCGCCAGCTCGGCCACGTCGCGCGGGACGCTCAGGTAGCGCCCCATGTGGCAGTAGCCCGTCAGCAGCGGCTGCAGCTCCGTGTAGGCGTCGGCGGCCGAGGCAAAGGGCGCGGCGGAGCACCTGTGCGCCCTGTCGCACCACCGCCACTCGGGGTTTTCCGTGGTGCGGAAGCGGCTGCAGAACTGCATCTCAAAGTGGGTAAAGACGGCCGTCAGGGACTTTGTCGTGAGGACGCAGCCGGCCCTGCGCAAGCCCTGGTTGTCGACGCGGTAGTCTTGCCCCGTGCACGTGGCGTCGCCGTCCTCGTCCCCATCCTCGCCGTCCTCGTCGGCGGCGGCGGCGCCGCGCTTCCAATACTCCCACTGCCAGTACAGGCGGTTGCCGCCGTTGGCGTGGCGCGAGGCCTGCTCGTAGTTCTCCTGCAGGCAGCACAGGCCGGTGAAGAGGGTGCTGGCGAGCAGGATGGCCTCCTTGTCGGCGTCGGTCAGGACCGGCTTGCGGGTGAGACGCAGGACGGCGAGGACGGCGGCGTGGAACTGGGCGAGGGCAAAGGCCTCGTGGCGCTGGCGCGAGGCGCGGGCGTGCGCCGTCTGCGCCGTGATGCACGTCGCGCGGTGCATGGTGGCCAGGGCGAGCCCTGCGTGCCAGATGGCCGGGTACACGTGCGTCGCGCGCATCACGTCGACGGTCCAGAACGAGGCGCTGAACAGCCCGGCCATGCGCCGCACGCACTCGCCGCGCAGCATGGCAAAGGCCCCGCGCTCGGCGTGGCTGGCGTCGACGCCCGCGGGGGCCACGGTCGGCATCGGTTGGTTGTACACCGCCAAGAGGCCGGCCGCCGCTGCCGCCCCTGTGGTGTAGGCGGCGGCGGCGACGGCAACGGCGCCGTTGCTGTATCCTTCGCACTCGCGACCGGTGGAAATGCACTTCTTACAAGATGGCGCGCCTTCATCGCATTTGATACGCCGTCGTCTAGGGACGGCGACGGAAGCCTGTTAGCCCGAATGTCGTGGTCTACTGCGTCTGGGGCTAGAAGGGGGGGGGGAGAGAGGAAACCACAGGCAGTTACTCACCTGCAAGTGATGCAGCCGGTACGGGTTTTGGTGGCCCATTTCCTGGTCCGCCGTGAACCGCCGGGGCTGCTCTTGTCTGGCTCCATGGCAGCGGGTTTGTTGTGGTTCCTCTTGCAGCAATTCGTTTGATTGCCCAGGGACTTTTTTGAAGATGAACGAAGACGGCCGGCCCAGTTTTCTGCGGGCGCCTGTTGAGGCTTTGCCGATCTGGCGGGTCTGTGCCAGCTGTCACTGACATGTGCTGTAGTTGGAGCCTACAAACTTGTTCAACGAAATACAAATTAGAGAAGAAGGGCCTAGAACGCAATATACTACTCGGTATGCGTCTCGTATCGCTCGGAGTCGGCTTTGTTGGCTTTATTGGCCGGAATCTCAGCGATTGTTACATTGACACAAGCCAACAAGCGTAGGATTCAGGATTCATAGTGGACAATGAGCTGTCAAATCAGGCTTTGGATAATTACCTACCTGCAAGCGATTTTTTAGCAGCGGAGAGCGTCAGTAGGCCGACGCTACAAATTACTCACAGCCCCATAGGGTTCCATGGTTAGGGCTGGCCCATTTATAGACCGTGTTCCGCATCTTTCCAATGGCGATTGCGATCCTGAATTTGCTTTACAGCATACCAACCTTTTTCTTCTACCATCTATTCGGGAGCTGGGTTGCAGTCATGTCGCTAACACAGCTGATACAGGTCACTCGACCGGACCCAGCGCTTGAGAACAAAATCCTGCGCCGTGCCCTGTAAGGCCATTTGTAAAAAGCTTCTCATTCCCGGTTTCTTCGACGAGGAGGCGTACCCGTTTCCTTACAATGGTGGCTTTGGAACTGTCAGGATAGATGTATCAATCAACGAGGGTTGCAGCTTTGGCACGTAACGGATCCAAGTGGAGGTTGGATCCTGAGTTGATTTGGTAACATGTAATATTCTGCTAGACTTTTTTTTCTAGTACTGTACAAGAAGATTACAAGATTCTTGTTCTTCTCCCAGTGTAGTTCACTATTGAGATAGTATGAGGACACGATGGTCGAGCCCTGTATTTCTCCGCCTCCACAAGGATATCTATGTATAAGCACCAGCATTCACCACTTTTGCTGGCACACATGGTAATCATGTAATAATATATATCCTCCACAACAAAGCCGGCGAACAAACCCCTCATTTGACATCCTGGATCACCAACTCAACAATAACACCCGCATAGCCCCAGCCATGTACCCGTCATTTGAAGAGCTGCGGAGCGAAAGGCAAAGAATAGTATTCTCCAACCACTTTAAACGACTATGCTGGCCCCTTCGAGGCACGTTCCCAACCGCGTTGTCGGTTATGGCGACGGCGCGTGGCGCCTTGGACGAGATGGAGCCCCTGCAGCGCCAAGATGGAAGTTGGCATGAGATTGCCACGCTGTCGCTAACGGAACCTAAGGTCTCGTCTGTCAATGCTTCGGTTTTCATACTAAATCAGTACGAGGCTGATTGGGTGGTGATGCACGAGTACCACGAGACTGCTGAATATGTGACGTACGGGGACCTGGATGACGAGACGCGGCCGTTTGGTGAGCAGCAAGAGGATGGTACCTGGGAGGCCGACGCAGATACAGAGTACCTCGCGAGATGCTGTGGCCAGGACAGACCAGTACGCAAGAAAGATTTAAAGGTACAGGTAAAGGCCACTAGCAACAAATTCCTAACAATACAGGACTACGTGTCTGGTGTGTTAAGGCCTATATTAAATTGTGTCAAGGCTAATTAGTTGGATTTATAGTGGTACATCCGCGACCATAGGATGTAAGATGCTATTACATGCCTGAATGGTGAGTGGCTTAGACGGGGCGACGGTCGGCATCGGTTGGTTGTAGCTTCGTCAATTGTTGCTCCCTAGATCTACATCCACCAAGTACATCCACACCCCCCTTCATGCACAATGCCATCTCAAAGCTTTGCAGCGGAGCCGGGAATAACGCCCTCCTCGTCATGTAACAGGCGGCAAATTTGCGTCGTCCTCCTCCTTGGTTCCTCTGATGGCCTTGCGTGTGCAGTCCACCTCGCCAACAAAGGACTGTCCCTTGAGCGAGACACCCCAGAGCTCGACGATGAGCACCCAGCTGATCAGGCCGAGGGTGATGGAGATGAGGTACAGTGACTTGAGATCTGTGGCCAGAGGCAGGAAGAACATGACGAGGGCCATGGCTACGCGGTTAGCCAGTCGGTACTGCTTGGCCAGCCGCGGCGTGCCCTCGGACTGGTGCTTGTGGCTGATGGCCATGGCCGTCATGGACAGGAGGGCAATCGCCAAGCCGTGGCAGTAAAAGTAGCGTACGCCGGTGCCAAACTCCTCTTCCGCCAGCCCGCGGTAGTTTTCCGTCAGCTGCTCCGGATACGTGTTGGACATGTCGGACGCGAGAACCAGTCGAGACAGGGCCGAGGTAGCAATGATGTAGCCCATGATGAAGGGCAGGTGAGCATTGTTCCAGACGCCCACTAATAGAGTTTTTTTGTTAGTTCTGCACAGTACGGGGGAAAAAAAAATGCGAAATGTCGATACTCACTTGCTACCGCCGACCGACGAATGGCATGGACGTCGATGCCGTTGCCGTCAATGTCAAAGTAGATCCAATTGAAGAAGAAGGCCTGCAAGAGACCAAGAACAGCCTTGCCGAGAAAGGCGTTGACGTTGTAGCCGCCGTTGCTCTGGAACAAGATGCCGACCACGGAGTAGCCAAGGACCAAGGACACAAAGGCATTGGTGCGCTCCACGCGGTGCTCAATGTTGATGGCGGGAATGTAGTCAAACATGGTCCGCACGCCTCTGGTAAACCACGTATCCGACTCTTCCTTGGAGCGCAGCGTATACTGCACCGGTGCAAAGTAAAAGATCTGACCCCACATGTCGAGGACGATGGCGATCCAGATGAGAATCAGGCGGTCGGGCATCTCGACAAAGACGCTGCCGACCCAGAGCGCCGTCGGCACCAGCACCTGGATGCACGAGGCGAGCATGAAGCCGCGCACCATGGGCAGCAGAAAGTAGTTGACGGCAAAGTGCAGGGCGACGGCGTAGCGGGTGGCCAGGTAGAAGCCGACCAGCTGCGCGTACGTGTTGTGCGCCGGGTCCTCGTTGAAGCTGCTAATCATGTTGGTGGTGAAGCTGCAAAAAGTCGCGTCAGTGGGATTCTTTGCGCGGCCGAAGGGGGGGAGGGCGAGTTTGGCTTACCCGAGGAGACAAGCAAGATTGAAGAGGAGTTCGAATTTCGTCAAGACGTCGTCGGACTCGAACCAGCTCAGGGCGTAGGTGATTTCGGTCCAAATCTTCCACGACATGATAAAGGTGACGGCAAAGCGCAGGAGCTCACGACCGGTGGGCTCTTCGGCCATGTGTTCGCCATTGGAGTGGATGATGCCGACTGCAATAGTGTTAGCTGGCTGCTGGTCAACGACAACGGCCGGCACGACGCACCATAGAGGAGATCAAAGAACAGCTCAATGGCCATAATCTCGGTCTGTCCCGCCGCGCGCCAGATGACGCCGCGGTGAAACCACTGCCTGACCACCGGCCTCTTGAACAGTTTCGTGCTAGTCCCCCTACCGTGCCGATGCTTCTTTTCGCTGGTGCCGGCGCCCGGCGTCGTAGTGCCGCTCGGCGCAGTCTCCGTACCGGGGATCGCCCCCCCGCGGCGATCATCACCAAGCATGCCGTCGTGGGTCCGGAGACGGCTATTGTAGCCAAACTTGTCAAAGTTGTGTTCCAGCGCGGCCTCGCGGCGGGCAAGCCGCTCGAGCTCGGCGCCGACGGCCGTCAGCTGGCGGTGCGTCTCCTCCCACTCGGCGGCGGCGTCGCCGAGGCGGGCGCGCATCTCGTCGCGGCGGCCCTCGTGGTGCGAGTGGACCTGCCGCAGGTAGCTGATGTGCGCGTCGGAGCCGTGCTCGACGACGACGTCGGCGCCGCTCGCGCTGTGCTGCCGCCGCAGCGCGGCCACGTCGCCCGGCAGGCTGGCGATGATGCGCTGGCCCGACGGGAGCGTGAACTCGTGCGGCGGGAAGCGGCGCCCCGTGGGCGTGTGCGACATGTTGGAAGGGCACGAGAATGAGGACGCGCGGGGGTGTTGAGGGTTGGATTCTGATTGAGACTGGAGAGCTTGGGATAGTTGATTGAGAAGATGGGATGGGAAAACTCTGCTCAGGCCCGTGTTCACTGTTGACGGTTCAGCTCTTCGTTGGATACTGACTATAATTTAAAGTTTTGGGAATAGTCTGCTGCTTGAGCGTTCTAATCACCAACGGCGCGAACTGGCTAATAAGGCGGATTGGGCTAGGCAATTTTTGAAACGGCTACCAACATTTGTTGCAAGTACAAAGGTTGAGTAGACATGGGAACGATACTCTGTAAAAAGACCTGCCCCAACTTCAACTTGCTTGCTCTTCAACCATTCACACATTTTAGCGCCAACTCTGACGGGTTGCACCCTACCTACCCTGCAGCATATGACTGGCCGGCTTACCGTTCCTGAATGGGACTGCTACTAATTCCTGGCTTGAACCGTGTAGCGAAGACAGGTGGATAACAATATAGTAAATATAGCCTAGCGAGGATAATAAGTTCGGATATATTTGACGAAGGACTTGACAGCTGCACTTGGGAATGACTGTTCAGTCATCAGCCTGCAATTACTTGACACGTGCCAATGATGCCCATTGCACGAAATCTAAGGTGCTACATGTAGCTTGATTAGGTCCCGATTAAGCCTCAGTTTTAAACAAGCAAGACAAAATTAGTTAGGAATGGGCAACAGGGTGGGTTGTTTGCGAGGAACCGACACCCAGTGAGAAGCATAGACAATAGACAGCCACGAACCCTGGAGGGGGAAGCATGCTGTTCTGAACAACGCCCGGTTCACATGGGGGCCAGCTACCGAATCAAAGCTTCAGAGAGTTCAGAGAGGATGCGAGCCATGGGTTCACGGGTCGGGTGAGGATCTATACAATTTCTGCCGGGAGGCTTTCAAGATGGAACCAACGCCTCGCAAGCCACTGCAAGTAGTCTGAAGCGGAAATAGCATTCCAACCTTGAAAGTGGCAAACGAGGGCAGGAAAAATAGACTATGCGTGCACTGACGCTCAATTTTTTCAATACGGCAAAAGGGTAATTTAAAACATGTTCACAGGTTGGCGGAATGAAAGTCGGTAGCATGCAAGGGAGAGAGCGATGAGGAGGTGGAGGGCACCATCGGAGCATTTTTTAATTGATTTTGTCTTTGACTCTATACCAAAGGAGAAAAATCTACTGATTTTGGTTCTTTTACTGGGGTCATTCTTTAATTGGTTTTCTTATCCCCGCGTGGTAGCGACGGAAGGGAGGCTCATTCGATGCGGACCTGACAAATCGGGCCGTGACCACAGACTCATTAAACCTGTCCCTCGATAAAGGCTTTGAGAATTGGCAGCATGATTTAGATTAAATGAGTAGACCGCTTAGTTTTATTTTTATTTCATTTTTTATATAACATATATATTGTTTGCGCTGTCAGTAGACGGGGACTGCATCGTGACCAGACGGGAACGGTGAGAGCGCAAAGCAAACAAAGCCAGCGACAAGGGCCTGGCTCAGTCAGAGCAACAAGCCGGATGCAAGCAGCAAGGTACTAGTTAAGGTACTAATAAGCGAACTGCAATGCGGGCGGGCGCACACGGCGGTGGGAGAAGAAGCAGGTGAAGCCCGGATTTCTAAAGCAACACTGCGAGGGGGATGAAAAAAATAAAATAAAATAAATATGCCCTGCCGCTCTTGGATCAACGAGTTGTCGTTGCTTGCTTGTCGAGGAAACCGAGTCGTCTACCATGTACGAATTAAGCATTCACACAGCGCACCGACAGCTTGGGCCTGCGCGGAACACAGGGGGAGCAAGTTCCGCTGGTGACGATGTACAGGGGGAAACCAACGGTGAATTTCATTTTGGCAAAGTTGTCGTCATGTCCAATGACTAGTGAATTGATGCAAAGATATGGGATGCATAGGACCGAAAGAAGTCCGGCCTGTGCCTGCCAAGATTAAGCAGCGCCGACTAGGAAGCGCAACGGTGCATCTTGTTTGGCTGTTTTTTTTTTTGAGCAGAGTCCCTTTATTAAAGGTGTACCTGATTACCCAGCGGCATCAATGCTCGTGTTTCGTCGCAACGTACAAGTACCGGCGATCTGTTATGCATGTTCGCGCCCAGGGAAAGCCAGCATTGACGCTGGTGGTTCTTTTGGTCCCGGTGTATTTGTTCTGCTTCTATTCCATTCCCTAATGCGGCACAGAAAAGTTCAAGGGAATAGCTGCGCCGCGGTATATATAATACTCAAAAGACGTGTTGTATCATCATCAAGGGAACTTGCTTGCATTGGCTCAAGACTACGCCAGAGGAGGCGCGCACCTGCATAATTCATAACTATGCGGGATAACTGCTGTCCAAGGTGATAGTAGGGGGATATGCAGGGCGGCAAGAAAAGATACCTCTCTGGAAAGGATATGCGTTTGTCCATGGCGGTTTGGAATGTGCCGTTTAGGACTCAGCGTGTTGCCTGCCTCCATGGGGCGAGCCGCGTAAAGTGCCCTGTATCAACTGCTTAGGTAGTTATTTAGGTACCCGCCTCCGATGGAATGCGGAGAGCTTGCTTCCTCAAGGGTTCTTTTTTCCTTGAATTAATTTATTCAATGATCCAGGCAGAGATGTTACAAAGGCGACTTGCGCCGTCATTGTGGCTGGGGAGGGTGACGCCGCATTCCAGTGTGCTAATAACTAGTTAATACTGGGTAGTTCGGTTTCAGTGGTCCCCAGGAGCACCGCTGGAACATTGGTGATGCGTACCTACCTAGGTACCTCTAAGATACTGCAATGAGGTACCCAATAGATTGACGGCCGTGAATAGTCGCCTTCGAGGAGCATGGGAAAATCAACCCCCTACTCCCCTACTCCAACCAAAAATGTTCAGCCCAACTACTTAATAGGCAGACATTATTAGTTGGTCCTCGGTTTCAGCCAGAAGCAAAACAGGCAGTACAAATTACAAGGCTACTGGATTGGCCGTGGCGCCCGCCCTCATGGAGAGCCTGCATTAGGTACCTACCTACCTCGGTACAGCCTATGCAGGAGATGCAGGAGATGCAGGAGACACTCCGCCAGCAGATGCCGGAGCCTCGTGAAAAAGGCAGAAACAAAAACGGCCTGCACGTATTAGTAACCATCTCCCTGATGGCAAGGGACTGATTTGAGGGCGAGCTGGGCGGTCAAGCGTTGGTTGGCGATGGGCTCGAATGAGAATAATAAATGCATCCATCAACACGGGACAAGAAGATGCCATGCCTCCAACATTGACCGCTTTGTTCAGGCATATGCATGCCAGCGGACCCTGCATGACCAGCGCCAACATCGTGAGATTACTGGTTGCCTATGTACACAGGTAGGTATTCTGCTCTACCACTCACTGGCGAGATTACAAGGACCATTGTCGCAGGACTTGGTTGGACTCGCAACAGAGGCATTTTTGTAAAGAATGAAAGCTTTGCAGCCACATACCCCTCCATCGGTATAGAGATTACCTAGTTAACTAGTTGGAGATGAAACTTTTGCGCGAATCGCCAGCGTCGGCCTGGCAATGCCTTGATCGTTCAAACTACCCACAGACGGCTTGCTCGGCGCAGAGGTAGAGAGACATGTTCTTTGGCCGGCTAGACATTTGAGACAATACCGAGGAAAAAGCTCCGGAGAATCCTCTCTTGACTGGACCCGAAGACGAGACGAATTCCAGAGGGAGCCACGGCCCAACGTAACTCGACCCAAACAAGTTGACAGCACAACGCTATCGCACGCTATAGCTCCTCAAGGTTAGTGTTGTGTAATGCGATTCAGTTCGTGCATGAACAAGAACATGTCAAGTCGAACAGCGAACAGACAAGAGAGGCTCCGGCCCGTCCCTGCACAACGATTCTCTGTAAATGTGTTACGGTGATGGGATGAATCACAAAATTTCATTGTCAGAACCTCTGCCAGGTGTATCAATAGTTAGCTTTTTTTTTTTGCCTGGCCGCGCGCCTACAAGCGTAATCACTTGGCCGCTGCTCCAGCACAGCCCATGTGGGCTCGGCCCAGGTGCTGGCGTAAGCATCTATCAGTCATTTCCTCGTCCGGAGTTGGGCACGGAGCTAAAAACAGCAACATTTCGCAAGGCGAGAAATGGTATCCAGACGACAACAAAAACCCTCATTTGCGTTGCCAGTGGGCTATGCGGCGTGCAATACGAGGCGCAACGTATGGAGTTGGGGTTAGCGAAGCCCACTCGGGGGTGTGGTCAAGCAAGACAAAAGCGTACTGCCCTGCCTTGTTGTTCCGGTTGTTGCTGAATGAGGCGTGTCACGGCGCGTGCTGAGGCGGAAGCCGACACTGGAAGGATTCTTCTCGACAAAACCAACTGCGCGTCTCGGCAGCCAGACTTGGGCCAGAGGCGATTGGACAAGAATGTCACCGTGCCACAGAGAAGGAGAACAGCCCTGCCCACCCCCTTGGGAGGCTCCGCCGCCGCCGAGGTGCACACTTTTGTTTCAAGATGCCTGGGCGTGCGTTGGCCAGCAAGGGGGTGGTGTTCCATCTTAGGCGGGCCAATCATGAACCTGCCCCGGGCGGGCTTCAGATCGAAGCTAAGAAAACGACAAGGAGCACGAGAGCCAGTCAAGATGCAGGTACTGCCGCTTGGTGAGAGGGACTAGGGAGTTGGTGTGGCAGGCTGACCGGGGGGGTCTCGCCAGGCGGGCGGCGATGCGACTTCTCGAACAACTTTGTTCCTTTGAAGGTTCATGATTGTCTGGTGAGGAAGCTTTGTAGAATAGTTGTTGGGTAGTAAAAAGAAGAAGAAACATTAAGCTCACGCTTTGTCTTTTCGCTTCAATGTCTTGTAGGCCCCTTTGTTGGAAGCACAAAGTATGTACTGTTAGCCGTTGAGAGGAATGAAGAAGCCCAAGGTGAAGCGCCTCCGTGCCTTGGGCCGGGTATGGAACCGGCCTCCGACGGAGCATTGTCGATTCGTTGCCCTCCCACCCTAGTTACTGTACTTGGTAAGCAACGTCGCGCGTACACACCCAAACGGCCGAAACCGTTGGCTGAGGCCTGGCCGGCTCGCTGGAAGAACGCCTTTTGCTGGCTGGCGGAGCAACACAGAGAGAGCGAGCACGAACCCGTCGATGGCTGGCGTCCGGAACCAAGCTTCCAATTTCGCATCGGGAACAATGAACAATGGCCTCTTGGCATCCGTACTCCGTACTCCGTACTGTCATGATTCCCAGGTGCCATCGCCAACCGGTTGAAAGAGAACGAGTCCACAATGGGGACGGAGGAGGCAGGGGGCGGGAGCAAGGGTGCCCTACAACAGTCCCAGGCGTTTGACTGGTTTGACTGGCCAGGAACTCGCCTGCCATGGGCAAAATGCGGTTGTTTGGAGGTGGCCTTGCAGGCTTGAGGCTTGCGCAGGTGGCGCTGGTCATTAAACCGGGGAGGTGGCACCAGATTTACGCGCCCGACGGGGACTGGCTGGCTGTGGGCGAATCTCTGCTTGTTTGTTCTTGTTCAACTCTGTAATGTATGGTGGACGGAGAAGGCATCTATTTTTGGTTCTCTTTTTTTGCCTTGTTGGATCAAGTGGGCAAAAGAAAGATTCTTTGGTGTGGTGTGCGTCTTTTCTTGAATATATCTGCGAGGCCAGTCCCGCCCCCCATACATTCATTGATTCTTCTTCTCACCATCCCTTGGACGTTGAACCAACCATTTGTGTATTCCGTTTTTTCCTTTTATTGAGTCGTCTTCTTATTTCGACATTTTCATTGAGACTGGTCTCTTTGTCGTCCACATTTTCCTCCCGATCGCCTAATACAAACGCCCTCCTCCCTTTTACTCATTTCGCCCTCTTTTGATTGCGGTGCCTGGTAGCATTCTGCATTCACTTCGACCTGCGAATTCTGCTCTTTTTTTGTTTACGACGGAGAAAAGGAAATTACTGGATATCCGTCTCATTTTGACACGGACAAAACGCACCTGTGCGCAAACGACCTTCATCTGAATCATTGGACCGTTATTTGTCTGTGATACCGGTACACGGACAGCAGCGCGCGACTGTAAAATTGCCGGCCAATTTGCAACCTGCATATTTGATTTCATCTTCTGCATTCGAGGCCCCGCCGATTCGATTAATTGATTTGCAATTCTGCATTGTTCCTGGTAATAAGGGAGCAAGAAGCAAAAAAAAAGCGTGAGTCTGGTCGCCGCCCCCAATTTTCTGCGGCATTCCAGCGCATGGTCGATCTCGCCGGCCATTGGCAGTTGAATTCCAGCAGTCAGCCCCTCTAACACATCAGCCACAGTCCCAAACAACCCTTCCAGTCCTCAGCGCCACAACAGCCGCTAGCAGGTACTAACCTCCTACCTCTACCTATCTACGGTACAGGGCAATACATCGCCCAATCTAATCTCGCTCCGCGCCAGGCGACGGCTGCCCATCCATCAGTCCACCCAACCTCCCTCGTCGACTGTCTCTTGCATTAGTGGTCGTGGTTTTACCATTCGACGATACCGCCTCACATCCGTTATATATACCATCATCTCAACAGTTTGCCTCTGCTCTTTTCCTTCTTCATCATCTCCCATCACCAAACGAGAAGGGATTGTCAGCTTTCGACCCCATCAAAAGCAAACACCGCCAGTTTCCAGCTCGGACCCGTTCACGGCCTTTTTGGACATTTCTCCCTCATCAAGTGACAAAGGCGCTACTAGCTTGGCCACTGTTCGTTCTTTGCTTTAACTAGCGAACTCAGCTCGACTACGGACGAAAAGCAAAAATCGACTGCAGAAACCCGACTCTACCTGTACTTCATATTAGTACTAGGGAGTACCCGCAGGCTCGGTAAAAATCGACCCCCACAGTTGATTCACTGCAAGCACCGATCTCCAACACGACGGTACCTTTCCGCCTGCCTCTGTTTGCATCCATTTGTTCGGGTTTGCCCTGTCAACCAACAAGACTTGATTAAGAGTCTTTACCGTCGCTGCGAAACTCGGCTCGAATTCTTCCGACTTTTCCACTCTTCGAGATTCGCGAGAAAAAAAAGGAGGCCGCCGCCACCAAACCCTCGGATCGCCCTCCCTTTTGCTTTTTCGCCCTTGCACAGGAACCACCGCCACCAACACCACCACCCACCGATCCCACCACTTGCCGCCTGTGCGTGTGTCCTCGTCGGCTTGCTTTTGCGCATTTCGACTGCATTACGAGATTGAAAAGAGTCCAAGCAAAGGACAGCGAATCCTCCACGTCACCCTTGGACGTTGCCCTGACTGCATTGCCTTGCAGACTCTGTTGGCATCAAGGCATTGTCAAGAGATATACGCTGTATAAGCGGTTGGCGATTCAGCTGCGATACTTGGCAAATCCGCCGACAAACTTTATCCTCGTCGACACGCACCCTTGTCCGTCTGAATCCCTGTCGGACAGCCTGGTAGGCACCAAGACTCAGGCTCATCGCCCCGTCCCCGCAACCACTAATAGCAACTAGGCGATATCGCTAGTCGACGTCTTGAATCAGTATCGCTGTCAGGCACACAAGCTCTTCGCCCTTGCTGTGACTTCGTGGAGCTGTGCCTTTATACTTTGCAGGGCCTGCCAAACGTCACCCGCTGACGCCACCCTTTGCCTCCCACGGCCACGCCCCTCCCCTCCCTGTACTAACTGGGTACCACCTCCCCTCTTGCAGCCCCTGGAACCCGCTGCAACCGCCTACTAGCCACGCACTGCTCACTGCTGCGCCCGCTATTGCAGGTACACTGGTACATATCACACCAAGTACCACACCAAGTACCCGCACCCCCTTCACACCCTCCAGAAACTTGTCCCAAGACGGAAACGGAAGATCCCCTGCTGCATTGTCTCTCTGTCTCTGGTCTCGAGTCCAGCACCACATGCGCCTCCTCTGATTCCCGCTTCATTTCTTGTCTTGCTTTTTCACAAGATCAAATCCTCCCTTGTCTCTGCTTTCTGCTTTACCATCTCAATACTCTGCTTTTTAATTCCTCATCCCCCAGAGTCTTGCCTTGTGCCGCTTCCCTTCCTCTCCGCCAACCAACCCTTGCCGCCCTTCTTCAACCCTCCTTCCCTTGTTCCGATACTTGATACGTCCCTTGTTTCCCCAAGCCGCATTACTTATACCAGACCTCAGCGCCACCTTCTCCGGCTCACAACTGCACCCTATTCTTGTACATCCAATAGGTCACCATCTGGCTCTCACCTCATTCACTCTCTTTTAGCCGGGATCCGCCAGCCATTGGTTTCTGTCTGCTCTCACGCACTTCCGCATCATTAACCATCCATCTCCTTCACAACCACACACCATGGCTTCTTCACCATCCAGAATGCTCAACATCAACGAGCTCAACAAGCACGCTCTCGAGCAGTTTGTCTACCAACCCGTCAGCCGCGACATGATTTCCTACCTCGCACAAGCCGCTCATAATGTCATCTCTTGCGACTCTTCACTCATGCCTTCGCAACACAACGCCGATTCTCAACACAACGCCCCTCCGACGCCGCCTGAGAGCCCCGAGTCTGCTCCCGTCAAGCCCGCCGACGGTGGCCTTCCCACCGTCGAGGAATTCATCACCCAGCTCGTTATTTCCTCCAACGTTCAAGTCCCGACTCTCATGTCGACGCTCGTCTACCTCACCCGCCTCAAGTCTAAGCTCCAGCCCATGGCTCGTGGTCTTCGATGCACCGCCCACCGCATCTTCCTGGCTTCTCTCATTCTCAGTGCCAAGTACCTCAACGACTCGTCTCCCAAGAACAAGCACTGGGCCAACTATACCCACATCAGCACCGACATGTACTCGTTTGGCTTCAGCCGCACAGAGGTCAACCTCATGGAGAAGCAGCTCCTCTTCCTTCTCGACTGGGATCTCCGCATCGTCGAGGAGGACCTATACCGCGCGTTCGACGACTTCCTCGAGCCTCTCCGCCACAAGGTCGCCCTCGCCCACGCCAAGCGCATGCGCCACCGCGAGGAGAAGCGTCGCCAGCAGGAGCTGTATGCCGCTGCCGCCTCGGCGTCCATTCGCTATCCCAGCCCGCCTTCGTCCCGTGGCCAGTCTCGCTCCCGACATGCCAGCCCCGATTTCCGTTTGGCCGCTATCCGTGCCGGCTCCATCACCCCGCCCGGCCTCACTTACAGCAGCTCGGCAAGCTCTTATGCTTCGTCGCTCGCCTCTGGCTCGAGCAGACAACACTCGCGCTCTACCACGCCCCTCGACTCCGAGACGGACCCTTTTGCGTACCAGTCGATCCTTGGCGACAGTCTCTGCGACTCCCCGGTCGATCTGGCCATGGACAAGGATGCGATTGCTGCCTCGACGCGCACGCTCAAGCCGACAGCCAGCAGACTGCATCTTCACGACATGGCCGAGGACCATTACCAGCAGATGCAGGATGGCGTCAACAAGAAGCGTCACCGCCGCGGCATGTGGAGCCGTTTGCTGGGTGGTGCTCCGACCGTGCGATAGAGCAAATAATAAACGTGGCAGGTTTTGACCCTTCGACCAAAGCCACACCGCACCAACAAACAAGCATGGCGTTTCTTTTTTTGGATTTTTCATTTGCAGCGAGCTTTTAGACTGGTTCTCAATGTCTCTGCTTTTTTTACTCTCGACCCCACCCACTCGACCTTTGCCGAGAGATTCTCTCTTCGATTCACCTAATGCGCCCGTGCACAGGCGTCTGCATCTTATATCCACTCGTGCATAATTACACCTTTTGACACGAACAAAGAAAATCTCGGACTCTGGTCTATGCATCTCCTATTTTGTTTACGAGCATACGAAATCAACACAAGGTTGGATTTCAGCAACATCTTTTGGAAATGGGTTTGTTTTCTTTTTGAGGAGTTTGGCGATTCTTGGCATCATCTTGATTTTTCATGGGCCGCCCTCGCGGCATCTGACGACTGACGGCCTTGATGGCATTTGTTGGTCGACATACAGGGCAGGAATAACAAATTTTCCTATGTCTTGGGGAAGAGGCTCAATACCTCGGATGGCAATTCGGGCGGGGTTTTCATAGTTTTCCTCTACTCTCTGATGGGAGATTTTATTTATTCATAAATACATGGCCTCGAGCCACGTTTCTCTACAGATCTCGTTTCGTTTCGGTGATTGCCTTTGTGCTTTGCTCTCTATCAGTTGGGTATACCGTCACATCATAGGTAACCCCGCCTTTCTTGTCCTCTTTCTCTCTAGGGATCTCTCCCACGTTCCCTGATGTGCCTTAGTTTTTTCGTTTGACGTTGCAAATTGCACATGCTAAAACTGATCAAGAGGTCTCCCCACGACGCAAACTAATTCTACGCTACGGCTCGCGCGAGACACGGTCACATCGCCCACCCCGCGACGGATGGGCTGTGTAAGTTGGTGGGTTGTTCTATTGTGGAGTGCCC